TTTTGTCTTAAATATTCGTGTACCAATGGTAAAATGTTTATTTTGTCTTAAATATTGGATTTCAGAAGCCCATCTTTTCCCGGTAAGATCACAACATCAACTTTGATTTAAATTGACAAATAATTCGTGTTTTCAATGTCGAAGACTTTGGATGATATTGAGTTAGAAACTTAGGTACTTCAACACAACAACATATGACATACCAAATACATGTACTACGTTTTAGTTTTCCTGGTGTAATAATAATTTTGACATGACATTTTATGCAAGCATGACATACATTATTAAACTATTCGTTTATTTTTTCCAATACCCCACATCTTGTTGAACTAGATACCCCGACGGCGACGAGAGTCTCAAGTGAAATGGTTTAAACAATATTTATTTACCATATATTACATACTATATACAATACATAATAATTTATTAGTGAAAATGAGGATGGGCCGGGCCCCACTGCGCGAAGGCCCGGGCAGGTGGCTTATCGTTTTTAATTTAACATTTTTTAAAAAAAGAAAGTGGACTGACAGAATCCGATACTAATACTACCCACGCCACTATGTCCCACATTCAGAAAAGTCACCGGTTTTCATCTACTTTACTATGTACAATGTATTATTTTAAATTAAATTATACCAACAATTTAAAAAAACAACAACAAAAAAAAACATTACTCGGCATACTTCCGGGAGCCTCTAGGATTTGGGCCCCTAGTCAAGTTTCTCAGCTGCCCCCCTCCAAAAAAAACAAAAAGAAAACCACACACACACACACTCTCACGGTCCCTGTACAGACGTATATCCTGCATCCGGTCAAACTATGTGTGACTCTCATATTATTTCTGGCCAAATGATGGTGGAGGGTATGTTGACCTTTCTGTGAGCCACTGTGACTCAGTATGTAGGGCGCTGACTTACTAACCAAAAGGTTCGGGGTTCTATCACGGTGATGTCCAGGATAGTGCCGCGGGATTTACTAGTGTGGTTTAGCACGGAGGTCCTAGCTAGGAACAACCTCTAGTAGTTCTTATTGGACGAAGAACTGACGTCCCGTGCACACGTTGGCGTGCACGTAAAATAACCTTTGACAGTTGGAATTCGACGAATTTCCACCATAGCTAACTACATAGGTTACGCCCGTCTTTATTAATTTTTGTTAATGAGTGCCAATAGACAGATTCTTTTAGTTCGATCTTCGTTTGAATAGAATTAAAAAAAAGAAGAGGGAAAGTTTATCTTAGAATAGCAAAGTATTGATACAACTCTCAGCCTTTGATCTCTTGGGGCTATTGCACTGATAAAGGCGTTCTTTGATGGTGTATTCTCACGAAGGTGCCGTTACAGAGCGTGACCAAAATTAATCCTTCCCACGAAAGCGCAGATATGGACTTGTCGGCTTTCGTTTGAAGAAAGACATGTTGTTATTAGGACCCAATTCACGGTGTTGAAGATTTTATGAATTTATGTTCACTCTGAATTTTATTCACCAATTGGCAACTAATGATGGAAATCATCAAATCCTCCAAGTATTCAATATGAATCTTAATCACCAATTGGCAACTAATGGTGAATATCATCATATCATCCAAGTAGTGTTCACATATTCCCTCGCTCTCAATCAGATCCAAAAATAACTGAATTGGCCGACTGCGTAACAAACCAATGGGCGAGGATGAATATGCTACTCATCAGTGGAACGACTACCACACGGGAACAAAGAACCAACAACACTCTGGTATAGGATGTCATTCAAGGATCAAGAAGCTAGTTGTTAAAGCTCATCCGATTTTTTAAAAATATTAATGAAATTAGAATCGTACAGTATGCCGGTGGCAGGAACCACCAAGGAAGAGACATAAATATGACCAAATCCAAAGCCAGCTCCAGAAAATAAGTACGCGAGGAATTAACTTTAATCCAGTATTTAGACAGGGTGTCTTATTTGGCGAAATTGAATTAATTTGTTTTTATTTCTTAAATTCATATGCCAAACATGTTAAAATGTTACTAAATTAGTCACATTGGGGATTATATGAAAGTGTAAATTCTTATCATAACAATCTGTAAACCCATTGTTATAATTTTAATCCATTTTAATCCCTGAAAGCTGGATTCCCTTGAAGGCGTCGAAAACGACCTCCCTTAATCCGTTACAGTCAATAACTGCGCCTTCGTGGGAATAAACCTTATTGATAACGACAGGCTATGTAAAAAGTTGTTCTTGGTGTAAATTAATTGATTTTGCTTATAACATTGCTGTTGGTGTGAGATAAGAAGATCGGCGCTACATGTAATTTATTGGGTACAAAGGAATCCACTGACATTTGATCAAGTTCATAATTGCATGTTCTCTGTGTCAACTTTAAGAAGGCAATTTTGTTCAAGCCTTAGAAAAAAGCGTTGGAGTTGACAATCTTGGTGAATTCTTTCAGAGAAAACCATTTTTATAAGTTTTCAGGCCAGCTAAATATCCTTCTTGTTTTATGCCATTAGCCAGTGTCGCAGTTTGACGTGGTACCTGTTTTTTTCTCGATTCCTTTTTTTGTAGTTACAAAATGGACGAAATTTGATGACGAATCAACACAAACTATAGATCATTTCGGAACGCGTAAGGGTCTTTAGCAGTGGGAGGAAAGCGGGAGAACCCCGATAAAACCCATGAGGTTGAGCAGGTGACCCCACTGGTCACTTACAAGTCTAGTGGGATCGAAAGACGCCACTTTATGACTCATTGAAAGACCTTATGATCTAAAGCGCATGTTGTATGTTTGTGCCAAATAAATCTATCTATGTACGATATTGGCATACAAATTACATTTGTGTAATTGACGGACAATGGCCAGAATATGCCACCTTTTCACTGTTATGCAATAGCCCGAGTGACAATCTCAGCTTAATCCGGCATCGTGCTATATTATCATATTATAAAATAAATGATCTATGATCCAAAAAACGACGTTTACTCAAATATCCCTTCGTGATCTGGGTCTCTCTTTTTTCAGTTTATTTTGGCTCAGATATACGTCTAATCCATTCTAGCATGTGCCACAGAACCAAAAATTGCCGGCGCTGCACCCCCACCTCCAAAAGTGCCCTAAGTTTGGCCTGCCTACCCTTCTTCGGAAGCCCTAGCACACTGGTTTGTTTTCAGTTATGACTTTTGTTGCGGTTGTGTTGGGACTGTGTTTTTTGTTAGGGGTCTCGCAGGGGACATTTTCTTCTCGCATCTGATTCAGACAGAAGCCTGGCCGTTGATCGTTATTCGGACCGTCGCATATAGGCCTATATACCTGTATGGCAATCGGTTTTTAGGAAGATTAGCTGGGGGATGGACTGAATATTTGCCATTTTGATCACCATTTTGACTTTACTGGTCCTCTTAAAATTCTGCACCCTGGATCCAGCTATGAAAGTGTCTCGCCATCACCACACCGCTTTTAAGGTTGGTAGTACTTCCTCGGGGTACTCTTCGTATAAAGCGGGTGATAAACATCCATGATCATCCTGGGCTTTGCTCAAGTATTTAAAACATATATTCATCTTAATGTAGTCATGGAGGTGGAGAATTGGGAGGGTCCTCCTAAGTGAAATAGCCTAGAGCCTCGATCTCTTCATCTAAATTTTTTTTGCAAGGCTATTTTTGTTGACTTTTTGACTAAAATCTACAAATTGGCCACTTAAATCACCAATGATTTCCCCATTAACTTTAATGTTAATTCTCGTAGCTTGGACCGGTGTGGCAGTTTTAGATGGTCCCTGGTGTGTGATTACCGTTTGGCGCATGCGCAGTTGTAGGAGTCACCTCACACCGTTACAGACGCGGTGTGCATTGACTCCTCGTGATAGGATTTCCCCTAAGATGTTCTTACGGTCAAATCAATATATTATAGACTATTATATATTTACAATATTACCACTAAGAGAGGATGCAAATTGACGATCTTTATTATTATTATTTAGTTTATATACCCGTCCACAATGCGAACATTCTCTCTTGTATTTGGGCTGTCTACATGCATGTTTGAATGTACGTATGGGATGGTGTAATAAATCTATATTTATGTTAAAGAAATCGGAATAAGAAATTCCATACTTTTATATTTGTGTTAAATGAAGCCACGAAATATCAAAGACCTTAATCTTCCCTTGGAGGTGAATTAATTGATAATTTCAAGCCAATCATCAATTTGTATGGTTTCCACTGATCGTACGTGTGTAGAACGACTAATCACAAAAAAAACCAACGGCAACAAAAAACGAACGAAGTATCAATTTCAAGCCAATCAACTTAGATCCGTTGATCGTGTAACTACTGATCGCTAAAACAACAGCTAATCACGTCAACAAGTATTTTATTAATGACAAAACTCTAATCAAGTACATGATATATTTTTTCCTGTACTGACCAGTGGTCAGGAACCAACTCACACTGCAGGAAGTAGATATAGTTTCGTTGTTAAGGCAAACATCAGTTTCGGACATGCGCAAGTGCCCAGGAGAAAACACACACCAGGAGTCAACTCAAACTATCACACCGGCTCCAACTTTTCCCCAAATTTTTGTTGGGTAGAACGCTTTCTACCACAGATAGAGCAACATGTGGCAAACTCTTGACCAAAAGCATGTATGAGGTTCATCATAAAAAAACATGAGATATACAAGCTCGAAGTAGAGATATGTAAACATGCAATTTTCCGCCCTACATCTTAACTCTTGTATCCTTCCGCCTCAAAATCATAAATATTCACCAAAACCTGGCAAAACAATTGTATATTCAAACCTTTTTCTTAATTTCTACACCAAAAAGTAAACAAAGATCGACAAGCACAAGGGGAAAAAGAGAAAGGGGGAGAAGGACTAAAAATACTTTTGGCCCTTGTAAGCTGTGTCCAATTACTAGTCTGAAACCAGAAGAAAATGTTATTTCTTAAACAGAGTTAATTCCCTTTAACCACATTTGTCCGCTCATAATATAGTCTTGATTGTCACACTCAAATGACCCTCTTACACTGAGACTGGATATTCGAAAAGACAAGTATGTCCTAATTTCCTGTCAGAAGCGAAAAAAGAAGACAAACTCTTTCGAATTTTAACAATGGTATTATTTACAAACTCCTGTCTTATTTGAGACAGTAATTATCTAAGCAATATGCCTACCTTGATATGTGTTAGCTTAATTAATTAGAAATGCGCTCTTTGAAATAAAGACAAGTTCAGAGAAAGTGTTCGTGGCGAGGGGTCATGTCTTTTCTTTTTTTTTTTAGGAAAGTTGACAGTTGTCAATAAACCCTATGAGAGTTCAGATATTTTGACCTTCGTCTGAACCACACATAACAAACAAGAACCACTGTTATTGAATAATCATTTGAGCCTACACCCTCAAAAAAAGAACACAAACATGACAACGCTTAGAAATGGTTCCACTACCACTGGCACTGATGTCTTCCGTCTTGCCAGCTAGTGGACCGTCCGAAGGCCTTCCTTTTTGAGCAAGTTTTGTACTCATTTGACTACAAAAAAGTTAATGGCGTATAACGCCCTTAATTTCCAATTACACTGACTCTCCCATTGTTTTTGTTATGCTTTTCAGTTCTCTGCATGAATTTTCTATACCATACCGTAAGGAGTAAATCGTCAAAATGCCAGGAGCTACATCAAAGAAAGATTTATATTTGGGGAAAAGCATGACAGATTTGAATAGTTATTGTACTGTCAAAGATCTTGGACCTAATGTAAAGTTGTAAGTAAAGTATAGTCAAATTAATATGTGGAATAAGAATCTGAAAAATAAATTTGGTGTTAATTTGCAGTAGTAAGAGGGTGTCACAGTTTTGCTTTGTAGGTTACTTTATTTAATCCTAAATAAGAAACCTAAACCCAGTGTTCTCGAACCATATAAACCAGCCAAGCTATGATTGTTTTCCGCCACAATAAATCTACTACTGCCAAGCTTGGTGACTATGTTTCTAAGTTAAACAAACAAAATCTGCATTTTAATATATTTTGTCAGATTGAATGGACTAATGAATTAGAATATTCTATTAGCAAAATCAGCTTTTTGATGTGAGTGCTAGTTATGAAATAGATTTATGGAGAATCAAACAGTGGGGAAACCCGGAAATTAATGTGTTTTCAGTTGAAGCTAATTTGCAGGTAAATCGTGTACTTGCATTGATAGCTGCAGACAGATATAGTATCTTAGACAAGCTGGGTGTATGACCAGTTGTTTAATCTAAATTGTATATTTATTTACAAGCTTTCAATTCATTTCCTTTCTACTCTGTAATTCTTAGATAGAATCAAAGATACAACCTCTATCATGGAAGACATACACTTCAAAGCTGAATCAGTCTGGCTAAACACCCATTTAAATACATTCACATTTTTGATATAAGATATATTTTATTTCAGACTGATCAAATCAGCAGAAAAGACATTTCAAGAAGCCGTAAAGCAAGATGACTGTGGTGATGAAGAACGGTCATATATTCTGTATATGAAATATTTTAATGTCGTACAGCAAGCCAAAAAACAGTCAGAGTATAAAAAACAGAAGGTAATTATTCACTAACAAAGTCAGTTCCAAGATGATTGTTTTTGGTAATATTACATGAATATGAATAGTTTTAGTATGCCCGCAAGCCTCAACAATAACTTAGTTTAACACTGTGGGCAATAACTTCTGTGCACCTGGCTTATTCAAGAAAGATAGATTAAAGATTATAATGATGATTGGTAATGGTTGGTTATAAACTTTTTCTGTAAAATCTCCAAATATATTCCCTTTTTGTATGTATTTGCATGCATAATGTCTACACTGGAAGCTGTTAAACTTTTTATGTGTGAAAATAATGTATTTAAATATTGAGAAATAATGAGATTGGATGCTTTGACATTTTCTGATTAATTCCTGTTGGTGTTATTTACAGGAATACTATGATAGTTTATTGGGAAGTAAAAATCAAATGAAAGCTATTCAGAGGGCTGAGTCTTTGTCCCAAAGTCTAAAAGAAAGGTAAGTTGTTATTTGGGAATGCAAATTTCATATTGATCCCATGAAATATTTGACTACAGTATTTATATGTCCCCGGAGGAAATAAATTATGTCATTGAATATTATTTAGTATTACGTCCGAAATTTTATTTTCAGAAAATTTTGAAATTGTCGTAAAAAATATTTGCATTTAAAGGAGCTAAATCGCTAATAGTTGGGGCCTAGAAATTGACACAAATGGGGCGCAACACATATAATAATGGAATGTGAATGTATATAAACTGATTTACATTCAACCGTTTCTGTTTTTACTGTAATTTCTAATCAGTTATGTTCGATGAAATACGCCAGAAGTCTCAATTGAATGGCAATCTTTAGCGTCTGGTTATTCCAGTCTACACCAATGATATTTATTGTGCATGCTCTCCAGATAAGAATATAGCGTCACCATTTGACATGACTTGTGAAATATGTCTAGCTGCGTTCTTTGAGTCCCTTGTTCCAAATGGCACTAAATTGCATTGTGGTACACGTTTCGTGTACCAATGGTAAAATGTTTATTTTGTCTTAAATATTGGATATCAGAAGCCAATCTTATCCCTGTAAGATCACAAGACCAATGTTGATTTGAATTGACAAATAATTCGCGTTTTCAATGTTGAAGATTTTTGATGATATTGAGTTGGAGACTTAGCTACTTTAGATTAGATATATTTTAATAGTAAAGTAGCTTGCAAGCATGGATTATTTCATGACAGCAGCAATAATTGTTTTGAATAATATTACTGCTAGATAAATTGTGAATTTATTTGTTAAGGTATGATTTAATAGAAGCTGAATCTATTGCTAAGAAATTATCAAAGTTGGATGCTAAAACAGAAATAAAGAATGATGAAAATGAGAAGATAGAAGAAAAAATACTAGATAAAGAAAAGGGAGAAAAGGGCAGCTCTAATATTTTGTCAGATAGGCCTACAGGTTAATTAAGCATTTTATAAATAATTACTATCATCATCTTCTAAAATAGAAATATTAAATAAATTTTAAACTGGTACAAAACAGATACTTATTGTTTATTTCAAGTACTGAAGTATCTGAATCGAGACAAAATATGTTTTTTTGGTATGGGAGTATGGATTTGGATTATGATAAAGACGGGACAAATTTGTGGAGTTGATTGTGATTATTATTTCTTTATAATAGAACATAGGTGAGGTCAGTTAACCTCAATTTTCAAATACAAGGATGAATTGTTCTTTTCTCAATTGAACTCGGGTATGTTCGAGTCAATTGTTTTGCTGATTAATTGCTGTGCATGTGTGTTAACCAATGAAAAAGGAATATACAAGAACTGTAGTAAAGGTTGCATATTAATAACATGGCTCCTGATATTTGTCTTAAAGTAGATCCAATAAAGTACAATAAATCAGCTAGGTAGATAAAAAAACAAAAACTAATAAATAGAATTGGTGACAAAGGTTAGTATAGCAACTTTATTTGAAGATGTTGAACCCCAGGGTCAGTGTTATAATGATAACTGTGTTTTATTGTAGAGAAGAAGAAGAAAGAGAGTATAGGAAGTATATTACCAACACATTTATATGATATAATGAAAGATAAAGAAATAGAGATGTTAATAATGGATGTACGAACAGTCATAGATTATAATCAATCACACATAGATCATATCAACTGTATTAATGTACCTGTAGATATAGTACCACCTGGGTAACTATTTTACTTTTATCGCATTCACTGCCATGTTTTGAATACTGCCAATATTTATTTTAGCCATGTTCAACTAAAAAAAAAGGGCTGGCGTAACCTGCAATCCTATTTAGACAAATCTGGTATAAAACGTATCTTGCCATTTGTGATTCTCATTTGTTCTTTTTTCATTAAAAGCTTAAGTACACAGCTCAAATGCTTCCTTGTATAACACAAATTTGATTAACATTTTGTAAAAACATTAGGAGAAGATATCGCTTTTCTCAATAACCTGCTTTCTGATCAGTTAAAGTAGCTAAGTCTCTAACTCAATATCATCCAAAATCTTCAACATTGAAAACACGATTTATTTGTCAACTTAAATCAGCATTCATGTTGTGATCTTACCGGAAAAAGATGGGCTTTTGATATCCAATATTTAAGACAAAATAAACATTTTACCATTGGTACACGAATCGTGTACCATAATGCGCTTCAGCCCAAGTTGTATCAAGAGACTCGAGGGACGAGGCTAGACACATTGCACCAAATGAAACGGCGTATGTAGACTGGAATAACCAGACGCTAGAAATTTGCACTCGCTTGAGACTGTTGGCTTATTTCGCCGAACATAACTGATTTGAAATTGGAGTAAAAATGGAAACCATTGAATGTAAATCAGTTTATATACATTCATATTACAGTATTATATGCGTTGCGACTAGTGATGGGATTTCAAATTTTTTCTTGTCGGACATTTTTACCGAAAATAAAGGGACATAACTCTTATCGTTATTTAAGATGGCAGTTTTTAGACCACACACAAAAATCACGTGTAAACAAAATATTCAAATTTGTCCGTAATATAAAAATAGGTGTACCTCGTTATTTTTTATATTTAATTCCTGTACGGTATTCAAATTTATGTCAGTAATATTCCTTCAAAATTCGTAATACGATAGAATGAAAGCGTGCCGACTGCTGCCGATATGTACTGTTTCAAATTCCTCCAAAATTACCGTATTTTCGGGTCATAAGTCGCTACATTTTTCAGCAGAAGTCCGGCATTCGTCTTATACTCCGTTACGACTTATGTACAGAGGGTAAGAATATGATATCCCGAGGAATGACACCATCCGCTAAATAATCGCATTCTACTCTAGCACGCGCTATCGTCTAAAACAATTAAGTACTTACACTATTTCAATCGACATATTTGTCAACATTGCCTAGATTACTTATTTCTTTATATAAAAACATAAACCCCATTCAAAATATGATCGTAAATCCGAGAATATGCCATCAATATAGAATCTTTTCTTGACATTAGAAGCGTGAATTTAGTCATGTATTCATTTCATAATTTCACGCGTCTCGCGAGATTTCTAATACCGGTATAGCACTCGGCAGATTCCGTTACTCTACATCTAGCCTCGGCTGTATGACGGCAAGTGATATGTACCTAATCAGATTTTCTTCAAACAAGAACAACTTTGCTCTGAAAATTCTAAACATGCTTCAAACGACGCAATTTTGATAACTTCTTTCTAAAACCGGCAAGTTCGTAGGTACATATCACTTACCGTCATGCAGCCAAAGCTAGATGTAGAGTAACGGAATCTGCTGAGGTTTCCCGAGTGCTGTAACCGCGTGCTAGAAATGTCTAATTTTTTTCGGATATATGTGTGTGTGAAATAGCTTTATTTAACGCTCGCTTCCACCGAAGTGATATCGCAGACGAATTATAATGACTGTCTATTGATCTGGGCGTTATATACTCTTACAATATGTGACTTCTATGACTAGTTTATACATATTGTCGGCTCACACCAATGCGATTAGAATGTCCGACAATGCAGAAACCACAAGGTTAACACGAAGATTAAAATTATAATGGATTGATGAATAGTCCGACAAAGGGGAAACAATGGCTTCTGTTTAAGATTAGATTGATGAATTGTCCGACAAAGGATTAAGTCAGTCAATCAAGGCAGATTAAGTAGTTAATCAAGGTAGGTTATAGACCGTATAACACGATAAATACGTTGATCACTTAATTACCTAATCAATCCAGCGTATTATCGACGATAATCTGGTTGAGTGGTAGTTATACACTCAGTAAACTATATTAATTTCGGAATTTTGAATATTATTCACCATGTCTTGATGTCCGATTGGGCATATTCCCGGTCGGACAATTTTGGGCGTTTGGAAAAAAGATTCGGACAAGTCCGGAATATACGGGCAAAATCCCATCACTTGTTGCGACCCATTTTTGTCAATTTCTAGGTCCCATATGTTAGCGATTTAGCTCCTTTAAGTAGCTTTTATTTTTAGCGATTGAAGGGACTGTTTGAGGTACGCTTCAACATCATGTAACCTTGGACACTCCACCTCCACCCCCACCAATTCTTTTTTACTGGCCATATGTTTGTTTCAGACTGATATTTATTTGTGGAGGGTGTTATTATTTATGTTTTCAGTACAACATGTAGATATATAGAAAAGGATCTACCGGCAGAATCGATATCATTATGGTCAAAAAGGGGAAGTGTAGATCATATTATATTATTAGACTGGAATTCTACATTAGAAATGGCCAAAGTTGGTACAACACTCAATACATTAAAAGATGCACTGTTTAAAGTAAGATCAAAATGAATTGTTCATTATTTTTTTTATTGTTTATTTTTTTTTACTTATTTAGATATGATGACTGGTTGTAACTGTTAGTTGAGAATCTCTAATTAGCAGAGTTTGAAATTGACTTAGGCCTAGATGTTAAAGACCACATAAGATTGCCAAATTTTTTTTTCCCTACGTGTAGCCAATAGTTACTATATCCACTTTACAGCAAGCTCACGCCAATCTGATTAAAATTAACTCGGCTTAACGTTTGAGTATCCGACACGAAAAAACGCTTTTCAATTTTTCAATTACGACCTTAATCCTGTTGATTGGCTGGTGACGTCACAGGCACTACACATAGTATATACATTATCTATACACAATATATCACTACCTGTACAGTATATCTCTGATATACACATCACGGTTCAATTAACACGTGACTGGCCTAATCATAATCACCGAATTATCGTCTTGTACTGTTATAGATTAGTCTTTTTGTGATTGGAGTATTTTCGAGTGAATTTAAAATGCTTTATCATGCCGTAGACCAATTTAAGCGTCCCTTGTTTAAAAAGGTCACGTGACAGATGAAGACAGTCAATTGTTTTATTTAATTAGGGGATTAAGGAGTCAGTCAAGCGTTAATGAATACACCCGCCAGCTGTATATAGGTAATTAAGGAATAAACATTCCGAATATGCATTCGGTCACTGTGACGTCACTGGCGTCTGAGGGGATTAAGAGTGTTTTCGATAATTGGCAAAGTCGTTTTTACGGGAGGTCTATTTTTGCGACTTTGAGTGAAGATAGCTGAATTAATTTCAATCAGATTATGTGAACTTGCCGTAAAGTGGATATAGTAACCATTGGCTACACGTATCTCAAAGTTTCCAGACCCATCTTATGTGCACTTTAACTGTTTGTCCTATTGTTTTTCTAAACTTTTCCAGTTTGGTTATCTGGGCCAACTTACATCTGTGAAAGTCAAATTTTGAGTGTGAGTCAAATATTGATAGACTCAAATCATTTATATAGGTATTTCTTTTAGGGTTGGAATATTTGATCACCACATATATCAAAGGAATTCATTTTAGTGTTGACTAGTTAACCTGGGCATTTTTATATGCCCACATTTTCGCCCCTGATCTTGATTCCTTTTGATAATCGCGGATATCCGAACTTAACTTCCTGGATTATGGCCCCTGATTGTTCGAAAAATCGCATTTTTAGCTTGCGGATTCTCTAGAGGTCACAATTTTTTTCTGATTTTAAAAACTGTTTAAATATATCACCATTCCAACATTCCGATTTTGATGAAACTTAAAACATATCTTTATATCCCAAAGATCTTAGTCACTTTTGATATTTGCACAATTCAGCCCATAACTTTCTAGATTATTGCCCCTGATTGTACAAAAAAATTGCGTTTGTTTTTAGCTTGTTCTCTATCCATCTCTTGCAAAATGTGGGCATATCCTGCCTGGCAGCCGCTGGTATTTTTGACAGTAAACTGGCATTTTAGATCTATATATTTCATTTCAGTATGATTCTAAGTTTATACTAAAGAGTGAACCATTGATATTAGAGGGTGGTTATAGTAATTGGTTATTATATTATCCAATGAAAACAACTAATCCACACATAGACAGACCAATACTTACAGCTAAAGATCCCCTTGCACTTTGTAAGTCACACTAGTTTTGAGATTTTATTCAGAAGTTGTCCTACATTTTCTTATTATGAAATCCAATCTGTATTGCAATGCAAATTTTGTTTTCAGTCAATAAGTTATAAAACATAATTCATCCATCTGTGCAAAGCTCATCATTGAATAGTTCTCATTGCTAAAAATCTTATATTTTGTTATCAATTCTTAGATAACATCATGCTAACATACTGATAGAGTATTTTGGTACAATCTTTCAAATCTGGATACAAGCATTAAACTCTGTAACAGTATTTGTTCAGGATCTTTTGTTAAAATCAAGTTAACCACTTAAATTTTCAAAATGGCTGTCATTTTCCAAGATGACCGCTATTTTAGTTTTTTTTCTTGCACAGAATCTTACCCACATGATATATATTTCTATGTTTTGAGCCATTTTTGATACCAGAGTCTCCTTGTGTCTTTTTAAAACAAATAATTTGAAAATATATACAAGTTATAGACTCAAGTTAATACAATTTTCAAGCCTATGGAAGAACACTGTATAGTAACAACCCCTGTCATGATTTGGGAAAGTGTAATGTAAGTTAATGAAAAAGTGCAGTTCAATGGCTTTTGTCAAGAATAAAAGTTAACATTTCCCTTTTATTTTATAACAGTGGATTTTGATTACCCAAAATTTGAAGATGAAGAAATTAAACCCAAGCAATCACAACCTGTGTTACAGAAAGAAACGCCTAGCCCCAGTAATTCAGAGAAAAATTTTGAATTCCCGCAATTTGACAGAAGCACAAAACCTAAGCCCAGTGGAACAATAGCGTCAAAAAAAACTTTCAACCAATTAAATGAAATGACATTAAATAACATAAAAAATTCTCCAGTTACAGAGAAATCTGTATCTTCAGAGATATTAAATCAAAATACTTTATATCCTAGTATGTCTAATCTACCCAGTAGCAGTGGTAGTCTTAAAAATACAAACATTGCTCAAGCTAGTAGGCCTCATAAGTCAGTTGACAACAAACCACTTAATACACTAAAACAGCAGCAAACGGAAGAATTTAAACAGCGCCAAAAAGAACTAGATGAAAGTGAATTACAAAAAATTGAAAATCTGGAAAAGATTCGTAAAAAACAAGAAAAAGATGTGGCTAATCTGATGAGAATGAAAAGAAATTTACAAGAAGAATTAAAGAATGAACGATTGGACCAAGAAGAAAGAAGACGGAAATATTTAGAGGAAGAACAGTTAAAGTAATGATTTGTTTTATCAGATTTATGTTTTATGTTATGATATTGCAAATGTAATTAATGTATTAAGATATAAAGGTGTTGATGATAACAAGCCATCCAACACTGCGGAAAAGGGTAGAGAAACCGATATCAACCAGTGTACAGTGTACTCCTTAGTGTTCACTTAAGAACCCTTGACATTTGTTTGGAATTTGATAAAGAGGTAGAAATGCTGTCTGGGCAAAATGCCGATCATAGCACACTATATACGTATGCCAGTGTTTATTAGCCCAGTTGGTTCAGAAATGTAGAGCGTTAAACCCAATTTCATTTTGTTTTTAGGATAATTGCAATAAAAAGTCACTGGTCATATTTTTCACTGTCAAAACAACCCTTAAAATTTTCTGTTCAGTATGAAAGGATTTTCAAACTTAATTTCCTCTTCTCTGCAAAGTGATTTTATGTACACATTGGATGCAAAATTATAAGGCATATTTGTAACCAATTTATGACTAGTTCACAGATAATGAAAATCATTTCGTTTATTTTATTCTAATAGTTCTAATATTCTTTTCTTTTTTCTTCAAAGAAATATCGTTTTGTTTTATTCAGATTACAAGAGATAGAGAAAAAGAAAGAACAAGATGTTTTAAAAGCTAAACTGGAGGAACTAGATAAATTACGACATGAAAGAAAATTAGCTGAACAAAAAAGGATACAAGATGAACGTGAGGTAACTTACTTATGACAAAACAGTGTTAATTTTCCTGTGTTCTATGAAATATATGCAATATATGCAACCAAATTTTCATGCAGAATATTAACTGTCTGTCATTGGCCTACGTGACCATTTGCACATAATTACCACCAAAATCAACCCTATTACAAGTTTTGTAGTAAGCACTGCCTTATATTTTAATCGATGATTCTTGTGCCACTGTGGATGAGAATTTCTATGTGGAGCCTTAACCCGTTAAGTGCGTAGGTCGTTATATTACATCCTGGACAACTGCCACTTACTGTGTGTAGGGTGTAATATAACGCCTTGGAGGTATTCTCCCCAACCTATTCTTAGAACATAGTTCGTCCCTTGGGGGAATCCCTTGGGAATTCCCCACGATCGCAGCATGTGTAGGACGTTATATTACATCCTGGACAAGAGAGAGAGAGAGAAGGGGTTTAACGTCCACTCGACACAAACTAGGTCATTTCGGGACTAACATATGGGTTACTTTTATTTCAATAATTTGCTTGCGCGTAGGGGTCTTTAGCAGTGGGAGGAAACCGGAGGACCCGGAGAAAACCCACGAGGTTGGACAGGCAACCCTACTCCTACATCCTGGACAACTGCCACTAACTGTGTGTAGGGCGTAATATAACGCCTTGGAGGTATTTTCCCCAACCTATTCTTAGAACATAGGCAGCAATTCTTACGAAGGAAAACGGACATTTGGAAAATGGCGTAGGACATGTCTGGAATATACAGACAAAATAGCATCAATGGTGCAATAATACCTGATATTCCCAATTCTATTTAAACTATTGGAATCAATGAATAATTTAATTGGAATAGTTTAGAGATCAATCAGAACAGATTCAGATTATGAGTAATTTCTTTAATTAAAGACAGTAGACGCTGCTGAAAAAAGGGAAAGATTAAGGAAGGAACAGATTGCAGCTGAAAATGCAGAAAAATTGAAACTTGAAAATGAAAGGCAAGAACAGATAACTAAAGACCAACAGGCAAAAATAAAATCGGAGAAAAGTAAGGAAGCAGAAAGACAAGAACAAATCCTACGGGATAGACAAAATAGAATAGAATTAGAAAAAAGAAAAGAAGTAGAAAGATTAGCTTTGGAAAAAAAGAAAAGAGAAGATGAACAGAGATTGAAAGAAGAACAGCAACGTGTAGAAAATGAACAGCTTGCTGAAGAAAGACTGAAAGTACAGCAAGCTCAGATTGAAGCTGATAAATCTAAAGCTGAAAAAGCCAGAATTGAGGCAGATAAGGCCAGAAAATTAGCAGAAGAAAAAATCAACAGAATGCAAAGTAGGCTTTTTCTTTTCTCTTTCAGCGTTACATTTAATAGTGTTATAGAGTAAACAAGAATGACATTAAGTTCTTGTCTCCAGAATACTTTGATTCATTATGTTACATATAAGCTAGTTTTAAAAAAAGTGCTGGGGTTTTTAAGTCAGGAGAGTTCAGAGTTCACTCTAAGCAGAATCTGTATATGCCATGCAGTGTGCTAGATGCTGTTTCTTGCAAGGAGAATCTTCGCTGGAAAATCGTGAGGAACCCTGAAGCTCTTGGTTGGTTAGTAAGCCAGAGCCTTACTCTATGAGCCATGGTGCCTCTCTGTGAATTCAGAAGTGACCATTTTAACTTGACAAGAGACCTATTACAGGTTACTACCTAGTCTTCCACTTTCATTATTTTGACAGCTAAGTTCAAAGATTATAGTTTATTACACCTATTTACATCCTACTTGTTGATAAGATGTAGTAACAATTCTAAGCAGACCCAACTCAGATAGCAAAGACAGGTCAACCTGGGAAAAAAATCCTTCTTGAAGAAAGGTAGCAAGAATTCCAATTAGCTGCCCCAACTTTGCATTTAGATGACGAGTTAAACTAGCTTGGGTTTTTAATCAAGTGAATCTAAGCATTGGAACAGCCAATTTGACAAGATTTAAACTGAATGCCAATGTTTTTCAATAATTTTTAAGGTCAACCATCTCAACCAAAGGTTTATCCATCACCTAATCTACCTGTAGGATGGGAGAAAAGATTAGATCGAAGTACTAATAGATATTTCTATATAGATCATAATAAAGGTGAAACACACTGGGAACCCCCACAAATTAACAGAACACCCAATAAAGGTTTGTCACTAAAATGCTTTATTACATAGCAATAAACATAATCTTGAATGACAATAAAGTAGAGATATAATATTCATAATAACACAACTTGATGTATTTACTGCTTTTGTTTTATTACATACAACATTTCTACAGGTATTGAAAGCAATATACATCCCTGTGAAATATCCTTCAAAATTCAACTTGTATCGTAAATAATAAAAAATGTTTCTACAGACAAACAAGGATTCAAAAGTTTATAACAAATATGTAGTTTACATAAATTCTTGACATTGATTAAAGTAGATATAAATTGATATTGTCATCAAATATTTGACAATTTGCTTTGTATTGTGGACTTTGAAGTAAACTGTTTCGGAGATTTGACAGAAACAACTCTGGGTCCCAAAAATTAAGACAAATGCTACAATATGTTGTTACAGGGAATTTTACAACTAAAATAAAAGAAGAACCTACAACACCAACATCTACTGGTTTAAAAAGATCTTTTTCTTCACCTGACATCATGAAATTAATGGAACAGGAAGAAAGAATTCAACAACCATCTATAAATAGATCAGTTAAACCAGCTATAAGGTTAGTATTAACCTGGACTTTTTATATAGACTTTCTGGTAGGAGGACTGCACCACACAGAGAAAATTATACAGAACACAATATACACAGACACCTCAAACAACGCACATATCAGATCTGGGAGCTAGCCGTAAGCATCCTCTGTGCTCTACAGTCCTGGGCCTGTAGTTTTACTGGCTTCACTAGAAATAAAAAAATAAACTAACAATAAGGGAAGCAACTCAAGTAAAAGGAGAATATTTCCCAAATGTTGTATTATACTGGGTCAGGATCAACTATGTGAAATCTCAATGCAGGCACATTGAAGAAAAAACACGTATAAATAACTATTTTCGTGAAAATAGTAAAAAGGCAAGTGAAATTAAATGGCTTTATGTAGTAGTCAAAAATAGGGATTCTAAAATTCAAGTGTATTAAAGTTAGGGTTTAAGTCCTTATTTCTATAAAATAGAGACAAAATTAATACTGAATAAAAGGAAGCAGTAGAAAAAATATGTGACTAGTCCTTATGGCAGTCATCTGCTGAATGACGTTAATGTTCGTTCTTACTGTTTAACGTCCACTTCCACCGAAGGTGATATCGCACACAAGTCATTATTTTTCTTTTCTTTTTTTTTTATTATCTTTTTGACTGTTATCCTTTAGGCATTAACAAATAAACCTATCTATAGAGTACATGTATAGATTATGTCTAGCTCTGGCTAAATAACATATGGCATGAAAAATGTTACTCACTGATTTTTATTTTCCAGCAAATTTTTTAAAAAAAATATGCCACTATTTTCATTTTCCCAACACTCTTAGGCAAAAACTATTTTGAACCATGTGTCTTCTTTAGTCATCATATATGATATTTCTTATATTTGTAGAACTGAACCTAAGACATATATTAAAGCTCCTGTGAAAAGAAGAGATCTTAATCCTATCTATGGCAACGTGGTAAGTTAGTAATATTTATATACAACACAGTTAATATTTCCAACTGCTGAAGCCATCTGCCTTGCTTTATTCCTTTGCCATACATGGGAGTGAACTCCTCTATATGGTCATTGTTATATACGTAACTATTACACTGCCCAGCCACACATAATGATTTGATATGTATTTGTATAGCTCACATTCTACCAGTCAACTTATTGTCCCCTGCCTTTCGAAGGAAGCAGGGGACTATTAAAATGGGTCTGTCTGTCGGTTCGTCGGTCTGTCCGTTACACTGTTTGGGACACAATAACTCTCCTTCTAATTGAGCTAGAATGTTCAAGCTAGGTGTAGGTGTTTATTAATATTAGGTCAATGCTTTGACAGAGTTCGAAGATGAGCATTTTCTGCTTAGGGTAAGCAGAGATAAGCAATTTGATTGGTAGATGCTTTGGGACACGATAACTATAGTTCTAATTAAGTGAGAGTGATGAAACTTGGTGTGTAGTTTCATTACATCAATATCTTTACTAAGTTTGATAATGAGCATTTTATGCTCAGGGTAAGCAGAGCGATAAGCAATTTGATTGGCCGAGACATTGGAACACAATATCCCTCCTTCTAATTGAGGTAGAATGTTCAAACTTGGTGTAGGTGTTTATTAGGTCAATGCCTCGATGGTGTTCGAAGATGAGCTCTTTCTGTGTAGGGTAAGCAGAGATAAGTAATTTGATTGGTTGATGCTTTGGGACACAATAATTTTAGTTCTAATTAAGTGAGAGTGATGAAATTTGGTGTATAGTTTTATTACATTAATACCTTGACTAAGTTGATAATGAGCATTTTCTTTTCAGGCTAGGGAGAGGTAAGCAATTTGATTGGTCAAGACTTTGAAACATAACAACTCTGTTTTTAATTGAGATAAAATGTTTAAACTTGATGTAGATGTTCATTAGGTGAATGTCTTGACTGAGTTCAATGATTAACATTTCGAGCTAAAAGCTAAGCAGAGCTAAGCAATTTCATTGGTCAATGCTTTAGGACAAGATAACTTTGATTCTATCTGATCGAGAGTGATGAAACTTAGTGTGTAGTTGATAATCAGTCTGATTGCTGGATAACTTTTGAAAAAGATAAATATGCAATAAATTAAAATGTGTCATCTATTTATTTTGGGATTTCGGCGGGGGAAGTCAGCCTCACTGTTGGCTTGTTGTCTATTAAAATGAATCTGTCTGTCCGACTGTCCATCCATCCATCTGTCTGTCACATTTTTTGCGACAATAAGTCTCCTTCTGATTGAGCTAGAAGGCTCAAACAAGGTGAATGCCTTGATGGAGTTCGAAGATGAGCATTTTCTGCTTTTAGGGTAAGCAGAGATAAGCAATTTGATTCGTTTATGCTTTGGGACACGATAAATTTGGTTCTAATTAATTGAGTGTGATGAAACTTATCTATTTGATACCTTCCAGTGATCTTGGCAAACATAAGATCCACAGCGGACCAGTTTAATGTGGGGTTTAGGTGGTTGAATGATCTAATGTGTTGGGCTGCAGATCACAGGAGGAGAATAATCGACTGCAGAGGAGTCGTATGCACATGCAAATTAATGACATAAAGATATTTCATGACATAGTTATGTTGAATGGACGTAAATCCCATCTCTCTGTGTTTGCTTGCTATGCATGGTGTTTGGAAGTTTCTACATGGACTCCAGAACAATTAGTTGAATTTGTAATTTTATATAGTGTATTTATTACAGGGTGCAGCATTAACAGGGCTAAGAAATCTGGGTAATACATGTTATATGAATTCTACCATACAGTGCCTAAATCATACCACACCATTAGTATCTTATTTTGTTAGTGATATTTTTGAACGAGATATAAACAGGTAAGCACTATATTGATAGGGAAAATTTTGGATGAAATTGTTGGTTGTTTTATAAATTTGTGCTTCAGACAGAATTCTACATCTAGACATAACTAAACTTTCGAAACATTGTAGCACCATGGGCCTTTCTGTCAAACGTGGAGAGCAGGAGATGTCAGACCGGTCGCTACGTATAATCCATGCATCTTTTATTACTACATATTTCTGTAGCTTTGTGATCGTCTAGAATTTGTCTCTAGCTGTCTTTACTTCTGCTTCATGGTGTGTATTTACTTCTTACTGTTTTCTTAAGACGTTTGTCTTACCAGGAATAACAATGCAACAATTCGCTTCTACATTTTATATAGCATAGCCGAATACATGTATACAAGCACAGATTACAATACTAGCTAAAACCATTTCTCAACCTTAGCCAGCCTCGCGGCTGTCTAGGAACTCAGATGGAAACTCTCTGGAATCTAATGGAAGTCTGACTTAAAAGTTTACTATGATTTCCTTTATAGAGCTCATGCATATCATGCACAGCAGAGCGTGTTCATGGCCCTGAACTTGTGTAATTAACAAAATGATTGGGTAAATTAAGCTCAATGATGCAATTAGAATATTTCCACTCATGTGTATCTCGTGGTATTTTATAGACACATGTTTTGGCTAAATAACTCTTTTTATGTGTCAACTGTCAATTACAGACTAAGTTGATTTAGTACACACTATATATGTGAATATGTGTGAAACTATTAATTTGCCAAAGATATTAATTAATGAAATATAATGCCATCTTATTTCTCTATTCTTTGTCTATAATTTAAAAACAATGTCTCAACGACAATATTGCTACAACATATCATCACTTTCTTTACTGTGCTGGGCAAATTGAAATGATGTCTATTAGTGTATATTAAAGAAAGAAAAGTAAAATGATTGTTTTTATTTTAATCAGATCTAGTTTTTTGGGTATGAATGGCGAAGTTGTTGATGAATTTGCTGTTGTTGTTAAAGCTCTGTGGTCAGGACAGTATCGCTGTATTACACCGAAAGATTTAAAGGTGGGATGAACACTTTTCACAATGTCTTTTAAACTTTATTTAAACATGCATTATGCAAGAGCTAAATCTGCCTATTGCAGGTCTTTCTTTAGGCCTGCAATGTTATCTAAACTATTAATTAACTGATCCAGGCCATAATCAGCTCTCGATGCCATCGTTCGCCTGTGATCTTGAGTGGATTTGAATACATTTTGTGATGGATAATTTAACGTAAAAAATCGATAATCAAGACTTTGTTATTTATAGAACCAACGTTAGTACTGATGATCGAATCATTAATATCTTGGTTCAGAGTGAAGCAATTTGGCTAAAATTTTCAGCATTTTCTGTTTTCATTGTCTATTTTTTAAATATTATAGCGATGACTGTCAGCTCTTTATCTAATCTTACCTAATGCCCCTTTAATGTAATAACCATATTAATTATTATGTATTTTCTATAAAACAAGAAATTAATGCAAACTATCACCAGTCCCATTTATTTCAATACACTTGTTTTTAACATAAAATAAAGTACAGAGTAGTTATACTGTAATTCAGTGGTATTGTCAAACATAACACACCTCCAAACAAGAGAATAATCCACAGTAATTAATTAAATGATAAGTTAAACAATGTCATTGATAACATGAAAATGTCATTATCTGGAAAATGCTGCCTTTCTTATGTTAGAATTATGAAAAGCCGTTCATTTTAGACATAACTAGGATATCGCAGGTTACTTTAATTTCAGTGCGTTATTTACATGGACTTCAGTTCACACTTACAGTTTTGATATTATAAAATGCATTTGGTATAAAGAGGTGAAATATTAGAAATGATCAGGTCTACTTGCCTTTACATTTACCCTATATAAAATGTCATAATTATTTGTTATTTGTAATATTCTATAAAACAGAGCACTATTGGTAAATATAACCCTATGTTTGCTGGATATGAACAACAAGATTCCCAAGAATTGCTTACATTTTTACTGGACGGTTTACATGAAGGTTTGAATGAGGTGAGTTTTACAAACCTATCAAATAAGACAAAGAATAAGACACAAGAAACTGATGGTTACTTAAACATACACTATGCAAGAGCTAAATCTGCCTATTGCAGGTCTTTCTTTAGGCCTGAAATGTTATATAAACAATTAATTAGACATTTATTAACAAAACAAGACCATAATCGACTCTTGATGGCATCGGATACTTGATATTTTAACTAGATTAAAACAGTTTGCCATTTAAAAATTTAATTTAAAAATGGGAAAGCGAGGCTAAGTCCCGATTATACCAGTGCTTTGGTTAGCACTATGCACACATTTTGTCAAAACTACAAACAATGATAACTTGGCTGAGATTGAAGTAATTTGAATGAAATTTTCAATATTTTCTTTTTTTATCATCTATTTTTGAATTATTATAGCAAGAATGACAAACCCTCTATTAAACTCTTAACTAATGTATCTTTAAACAGTTCCCTGAGGCTTTACATAAAATATCATAAATACACTACATGTACTATATAGTTGTTTTACTTGTCAGTAATGTCACATTGTTAAAGGATGTTATTCCAATGCATTTGTGACACATTTTAGCATGGTAATCATTGGCCCTAATATAAGGTTGTCTGACCAGTAAAAATCATGTGAAAGAGTTACCTCCCTTACATCCCACTTCAGTAACCTATAGGGGATATTCGATTGATCATTCCGGAATTGAATTCTGTCAATTCCAAAAATAGTGTCAAACGAGTGAAAAGGGGGATTTCAGGCTACAACGCATGTGCCAACTGCATAAGAAAATATCTCAACCAGAAATGAATTCCGCGTCACTCGATTGTAATTCGTCAATTGACTGACAATTGAACAACCCATAAGAGTAATCCGCAGTTTTGTAACATCAGCAACAATATCCATTAAGAAATTACAGGCAAATCATCATGTATACAGTTGAAATTGACATTTTTTATGTTATTGTTTTAGGTTAAACATAGACCACAGATTCCTGATCAGAATAATGATAATCTGTCAGACATCAGAGCGGCGGAACTAGCGTGGGAAAATCATAAAAAACTTAATCTTTCTGTTATTGTATCATTATTCCAGGTTAGAATCTATTTTAGTATTACTTATTTCATATCATAGAATCAGGCATGATAGCTATGATAGGTCATTAAAAATATTTAGAATTGACTACAGTAATGACTCAAAAAGGCATTATGCAAGAGCTAAATCTGCCTATTGCAGATCTTTCTTTAAGCCTTAAATGTTATTATATAAACTATTAATTAGACATTTATTAACACAACAATACCCAAATCAAGTCTTGATACCATCGGATGGGTCAAATTTTGAGTTGATTAGAACGGTTCAGCCATTTAATGATTTAGTTTAAAATGGTGAAGCAAGGTTATGCCTCGAACAACCAGTACAGTGTTTACAATCAGTGCACACATTTTGTCAAACCTTCAATATCTTCCCTCAGAATAAAGTAATTTCAATGAAATTTTCAATATATTCATTTTGCATTATCTATTTTTAAACTATTCTAACAGGAACGGCTAGCTCTTTATATAAATCTTATATAATGTATCTTTAAATAGCTGGTAATTAAGAAAAATATAATAATTTGGTTGGTTAGGGAATGATGTATTAATAATATGTTTTAGGGCCAGTTGAAGTCAACTGTAAAATGTTTAGAGTGTGGTAAAGAATCTGCTACATTTGAAGCATTTATGTATTTGTCTTTACCTATACCAGATAAATCACGATGTTCATTAAAGGTACAACCATTTAAATAATTTGGAATCAGAAAATGCTTTGCTTTCAAGCTGGCAATCAATCAACAATTTTCAGATCGATAATGATTAAAAAATTATATGTTTGCACTCTAATCAGTTATCACAATCTAATCAATAATTGATTATATGCATGCATCTATTAATTTCTCCATCAATTGTTTAACCACTTAGTCAGTATGTGCAATATACTTGATAATTAGTTCTCCAGCACAAAGTTATTCAACTTGTAAGTTTTTTTTTTTCTCCAGTTTCTCTGCATGCATTCGACTTAATGAAATGAAAATGTAGCACGTTTGTAATGAAATGGCCATGTTAGTGTCTAGTGGACGCTATATCTCATTTCTGTCTCGCGCTGTGATCATTTTGTTTTACACTGATACTGGCCAGCACACATAAATATGTCTCAAAAGACTACACAGAGACCATCAGAAAGTTTGTATCCGACAGTCATTGGCCTAGGATTTGTCAAGATACATTGACAACAGGCATTTGGAAGGGGACTGTACTGTAATCTACTGTTAATCATGATACTACAGTTTTGTTACCAGTACTAGAAATGTATTAATTATGGATCTTAAGCTTCAGTCTTGTCATTTTCATTGGGAATTTTTATGGACTTGGTTACGAGATGTAGGAAAACATGTTATTTAAGTTTTTGTTATTATGTAGGATTGTATAGAGAAGTTTTTAAAACCTGAAATGATGACTGGGAGTTCTAGATATAAATGTACAGCATGTAAAGTACCACGAGATGCTGTTAAGAGAATACAGCTATTTAAATTACCTCCGATATTGTTGATAGGACTCAATAGGTATGTATAGCATAAACATGTTTTTTCTTCTAATTTCTTGGTTTTCAAAGCCTGGAGCTGGTTAATAACTGGGAGACACCAGAATAAAAGGCTGATGTTACAGACACTGGTAACTGTAAATATCTCTCTGACTCCCAGGAACTTGTTTGACCCACAGTCTTGACTTACAATTATCAAGCCAAGATGTTACTGGTGGGTAGAATGAATTTGAAACCAACATTACATCTTTCTCGGTGTACAAAACAATAAAGATGTTTATCTTGAAATGTCTGTTGTATTTTAAATCCTTTAACTTTTTCATTTAGCTTTATGACCCTTATTACTCATCTTTTATGGAACTATTCATTTGTTTCAGAATAATTTGGAATGCCAATATTTAATTGGTTGAATTTATACTATATATAAGTTAATTTGGTGTTCCATAGTCGACTGATCACATAGGGATAAAAAAAATGTCAGTTATCATTGTTTTATATGCAGATTTGTTAGTGATGGTATGTGGATGCAGAAGAAGACAACTTATGTAGATTTTGGTATAAATGATATAACCTTTAACGATTGTGTTATTGGACCGAGACCAAAGTCCTATAATTTATATGCTGTATCTGTAAGTACCGAATGAAGCATTTTATTTATTTAATGAGCTGATAATTTAACAGATTGAATGGCTTAAGTTGTTAACTGTTATGTTAACTACCAGTTATCTTAACTTCTATTCAAACACTATACGACTGGTACCGTGGAATCTCGGGTAAATAGCGTTATTATCTAATCTATGTAGAATTATTCATAAATATCATTGAATTTGGCCTAATAGTCAAGGTGTCCAATTACGCCAGGTATTCAATTCTGTTGCCGAACATCCAATTTCACATGCGTTGTTCAGATTTTAACGAAATGTTTATATTGAAGGAGTTGTAATATAGTAATGCTGCCGTGAAAACGTGTACATGTATAATGTACAGGCCGGTTTGAATAACAACAAAATGAGTTCGGTAATCTTGGGAAAACATTTACCGGCATTCTGTATCGGTTAGGATTGTTTTCTAACGCACTGTACATGCATATAACGTCGGCCAAAATGTATGCAACATCGAACAACTTACACGTGTGTGAAATGGCTTTATTCAATATCCGCTTCCACCGAAATGAATTGGGCGACATTTAAAGTAGATGTATATTGTCACAGCGGAGATTTGTCGCTGATTAACACAGACAGACTAAGAATATAGTCCCAAAAATGGCGCGTTTCTGACCATGTGACTTACCGTTAAGCGCCCCGTGGAGTGGATCGAGTGCTCTATGAATGATTGATTTAGATTAACTGAAGCTGCAAGCTCATCGTATGACGTATATAATTTAAAGTTTGGATGTTATAGCAGCCAATAATTGATGGATTACATCGAAGTTATAGACGAAGATGTAATGATACGTTGTACAAAAAATTGTAAGTTGTTCGTTGTTGCATACATTTTGGCCGACGTTATATGCATGTACAGTGCGTTAGGAAAAAATCCTAACCGATACAGAATGCCGGTAAATGTTTTCCCGAGATTACCGAACTCATTTTGTTGTTATTCAAACCGGCCTGTACATTATACATGTACACGTTTTCATGGCAGCATTACTATATTACAACTCCTTCAATATAAACATTTCGTTAAAATCTGAACAACGCATGTGAAATTGGATGTTCGGCAACAGAATTGAATACCTGGCGTAATTGGACACCTTGACTAATTTTAATCACAACTCGGGAAATTGAACGGTCCAACTAATTATTGAACAGTCGTGAAAATTATGCGGGACGCTTATAATTACACACGTGTCGACAAACTAAACACTAGTTAATTAACGCTTGGTAATCAAAATTGCACGTTGAGATTTAAGTTGTATACAAGGACAAATTGAATGCTATTAGGCCAAATTCAATGATATTTATGAATAATTCTACATAGATTAGATAATAACGCTATTTACCCGAGATTCCACGGTACCAGTCGTATAGTGAAAGGTGCAGGGGTCTCGATAACTTTTCGAACTTCATTAGCAAACCTGCTAATCAAGTTAGATAAATTCAGGCAAATTCATTAGCAATGTCCAGTTTTGATTAGCAGTGTGAGTGTAGGAATATCCATAGACTACAATTTCGGAAAAGAGTGCTTGAAGTAAAATCTATATCTGTTGAATTTTACAATATTATGCATTTAGCTTTATTTCAGTCACACTATTATTGTTATAAATATTGCAAGGTCTGCTCATTGCTGTGTATACTCTCTCATGACATATGTTGATCGGTAAGAAATGTAGTAGGCCTATCGGAATAATTCCAATGACATTTCTAGGTTGATTCGTCTTTTGAACATTCAATATTCACAACAATGTCATTTGTTACGTAACAGCCATTCACTCCACTCGTCAGTGCTGATATCAATTGGGAGCTTACATCGATACTTGCAATGCATCGATGATGCATCGGACCATAAGTAAATTTGACAGACATATTACTCATATTAGCCTAAAACAAACATTGCTGTTGTTAATCAAAAATTCCCTGCCACAAATCTCCGTAATAAATTCTGTAAACATGTCATTTAGTACCCGCATTAATACTAGTGCCTACCTTTGTTATGTATTCCATAATACCTATCCCATTTTGTGAAGAAAATCAATGAATTATTTTTATTTTATCCCAAAAAACTCCTGTCATTAAAAAAAAATCTGGGGGGGGGGGGGGGGCGTAATATAGGAGGCGCTGAAACTTTGATTTAATTGACGTGAATGGTACAGTAATAGGTACAAGATACAAGATGATCGTTACTAAACTGGTGAAGAAATGTCGAAAAATCGTTATAAAAAGTGTCCACAACTTTATACACTTAAAAAAGGGACATAACATTGTCCATGTGAGAAATAAAATAAGCAAAATTTACGATTAGCATTTGTGCAAATCAAGTTAGCTACTTTGTAGCAAATTGATTAGCAACAGGCAAGATTTGAATCGCAAAGTGCGATGCGAACCCGGTTATCGAGACCCCTGTAAAGGGGAATTATGTAAGAATTAGATAATGAGCTGGCGTTCTCGCTATAATTTTTCAAAAACAGATAATGCAAAATGAATATATTGAAAATGTCATTCAAATTACTTATTTTGAGCGAAGTTATCAATAGTTGTAGTTTCGACAAGATGTGTGTATTGATCGTAACCATTGTACTGGTCATTGGAGTCTTAGCTTTGCTTCTCCATTTTTAAATTGAATCATTAAATGACTAAACCGTTGTAATCTACTTAAAACCGGAGCCATCCGATGACATCAAGAGTTGATTATGGTCTTGTCATGTTAATTAATGTCTAATTAATAATCTATATAACATTTAAGGCTCAAAGAAATCCCTTCAATGGGCAGATTTAGCTCTTACATAATGCCTGTTTAAACAAATTTATGATATTAATTGCATAGATTTTCTTCGAATAGCTTCTTTCCATTTCAGTACACATATAAATGATTGCATGTCATCAAAACTCAATATTTGAGGGGTACATAACTATTTTTTTTATTATTTTTTTTTCAGAATCATTATGGAACAATGGAAGGTGGACATTGTAAGTATGCACTTGTCACATAAGTGGTCTATTTAACTGCATCCCCAAAACATAAATCTTCATATTCTATACAAATATTTTGTACATGAAAGTAAAGTTACAGTATTTTAAGTTAATGGAATTATTACCACCACTGCCTTCATTGTGACCTTTAAACTAACAGGAATTAATGGCTATGATATCAACCACAACTTCATATATTAACCCTTTGACCCTGGCCTATTTTTTACCGTAAATGACCCTCTCCCTGGCTCGTGGGGCAAAATTTAACCTTTTTTCAGTGACAAAATATAAAATTGCTAATCACCCAAAGTGCCACCAAAGGGGGTATTCTGATGTGCTACCAGGAAAAATAGTTGAAATATTCATATACATGTAACATGATTTTTCAAGGCAACATTTGTCATCATAGTACCACAGTTCACAAAAAAAACAAAGTCCAAAATTCAAAATTATTTTTTTTTATTATTGTAGCTACTTTCACTAAGATAGTCACTATCGTTGCCGTAATTAACACTATTCAAGTCCTCATCATCACTCTTAAAGTATCCTAGCTAGTGCCTGGTCTACTGTTACACGTCTGTTTGCCATTCATGACCATAAAACAATATTTTCACGAATATTTCGGTTGTCTGCGAGTGAAGAGGGGAAAGCCCTCACTGCAGATGACACATTGTAACACATGTTCTGATTGGAATTCAGAGTCATACAAGTGGGGAAAGCCATTGCTACACACAACACTGTTCAGAGTGGAATTCCTAATGCGTTATGCTTGGCCGGAAAACTGGCCAGCCAGGATATAGACTTGCGGCCAGATTCAAAGAGTTAAGGCATTATTTGAGAGGTTTGCACATTTGTCATTGATTATTATTGGCAGTTAAAGGAGTTGTCGAAGATATATTTTAATGAATGAAATAGAGTAATTCTGTGTCCAAGTATTTCAGAAATCTTTATCCTAGCCTTTTACAATTATCTATTAAAGTTATGTAGGACTCTTTCGCAGAAATACAAACTTCCGTTTTTCCAAGTGCCTAGGCCTCAGGGGCCTATTGGCCTCAATTAAAAAAACAAACTGACATATATTTTGACATAAGTAAATAGAATTCCTCTTCACATCCACTCAAAAATAAAATGACCTAAATCAGAGTAGAAAATTGATTTCTAATCAAGTGGGGTGCGGAAAAGGTTAACCAAGCTAGTTTTTGTCACATCACATTTTTTTCACTGTAATTGGGGGCCCCAAGAATGATATTGTAACTGATTGGCTATAGTATAATTATGGTAACGTTTTCAGATACAGCATATTGTAGAAATCCTAGCTTAAGAAAATGGTTTAAATTTGATGATCATGAAGTGTATGAGATATCTTTGTCTGATGTTAAGGTTAGTAGTAATAATGTTTTTCATTTATAATTATATACCTCCATTGCCCAGACTGAAAGTAGTGCATGACTAAAGTGATGCTACATTCAATTAAAGTCTGATATACGACCGTCACTAGAAAATAACACTGTGATCACTATGTTAAAAGTTTTATTTTCAAGTTAAAAGTTATTTTGACACTCAGGTTTGTAGGAAGAATGTGATTCGAGTCATATTTTGAAGTCAGAAACTCATGATTACGTCAATGTGACGTTTTTAAAATAAAAGCAGGTCATGTGGGGTTTTTTAAGTGACACAGGAGTGCCATATTTACAAGTTAATTAATACATGCATTGCTTCCTACATTGTACATTTAACCCCTTAACTGCGTAGTTTTTAAAACGTTAACTACCCCCTAGTGCGTAATTAATTTGACGAAAAACGTCATTTTGGACCTTTTCATTCCTGAATACAAAATTTGGTAGTCTGAAACCAAATTAAAACTAACGGTAAATAGAGTTGTCTCCCTTCAATTCGATTTCCTCGACCAGGCGTAATATAACGTCTTACACATGCTGAGATTGTGTTCGAAGAATGGGTTGGGGAAAATACCTCCAGGACGTTATATTACGTCCTACACATGGTGAGTGGCAGTTGTCCAGGACGTTATATAATGCCCTACGCAGTTAACGGGTTAATGGGATTAAATAGAACACACTTAAATACAATTATATATTGGTTTTTTTTTCTTTTGCAGTCATCAGCAGGTTATCTGTTGTTTTACACATCGATGGAACTGCCAATACCAGAATTTAAACCCCAGTTAAGATAGTATTATATAGTTAACATATTTCACTGTATATATATATATATAAGCACACTTGATTGTAAAATGGACAAAATTTACTCATCATTTGTAAATTGCTTAATGATTTTAATTTGTTACACACCCACACTAGTCAATCCTGACTTTCATTTCATTGCAAGATTAAAACTATTTAAAATACAGATGTAACATCATCCTTTGATGGTACAGGCACTATGCTAATCATACAATAATTATACAAGATGGTGAAAATTATTAGATTTGTCTTATTTTCATAGAAATTCATGTGCCTGATATTGTATCTGTAATTTAAGTTGTTTAAAGTAGCTAAGTCTCTATCTCAATATCATCCAAAGCAGTGATGGGATTTCAAAATTTTTCTTGTCGGACATTTTACCGAAAATAAAGGGGCATAACTCTTATCGTTATTTAAGCAGACGAATTCGTACCACAATTAAAAGTCACATGTCAAAATATTCAAATCCCGTACGTAATAAAAATAGGTGAACCTCGCTATTTTTCATATTTAATTCCCGTACAGTATTCAATTCATACCACAATTAAAAACCACATGTCAACAAAATATTCAAATCCCGTACGTAATAAAAATTGGTGACCTCGCTATTTTTCACACTTAATTCCCGTACGGCATTCAAATTTATGTCAGTAAATGTCCTACAAAATTAAGCATTTTCGTAATATGTTGAATGAAAGCTTGCCGATCCTGCTTCGGCATCAAATTCACAACCATAATATTCCTTTAGAATTACGTGTCTTCGTTTATACGGCTGCAAATGAATGCAGAACTTCCGAAATAGGTAAATCACTTGTAAACAGGCATAGCTAACTTCAGCGAATAACACTCTTTCATAGTCACGACAGAGTGACAGGCATCATAGGCAACACAGCAGAATGATTGACATGCTTCTTAATTCCCGCCTACAAATACGTTAGAATTTCTGCTCATATAGCTATTGGTAGCCCCTCCCCTTTTTGTTATTTTGCTGGGTGCGTACTAGTCTCGGTCACCCAGAAACTCCTAGTCTTCAACATATTCGTAGAATATTTTTCTGGATAATAGAGACTAATAGCCTACGTGACTCACATCACACGGCTTCATAGTAAGCACTGCCTTATAATATGTTAAGCAATATTCGTGCCGCGCTTGAGATCAAGGGAAAGTGCCACTGTGGATGAGAATTTCTATATGGATTCTTAAAAGACGTAAAAGATCTCGTAGACAAAATGACTGTCCATTGATTTAGGGTGTTATTTACTCTTACGATATGTGACATCTTTGATTAGTTTATTATAGATGATGTCGGCTCACATCAATGCGATTAAGATGCCCGACAAATGAGAAACCACGAGGTAAACAGGTGGATTAAAATTATAATCATTCTTATTGAATTGATGAATAGTCCGACAAAAGGAAAGCAATGACTTCTGTTTAAGATTAGATTGATGAATTGTCCGACAAAGGATTAAGTCAGTCAATCAAGGCAGATTAAGTAGTTAAATCAAGGTAGGTTTATACTATAGACGGTATAACACGATAAATACGTTGATCACTTAATTACCTAATAAACCCAGCGTATTATCGACGATAATCGGGTTGAGTGGTAGTTATACACTCAGTAAACTATATTAATTTCGGAATTTTGAATATTATTCACCATGTCTTGATGTCCGATTGGGCATATTCCTGGTCGGACAATTTTGGGCGTTTGGAAAAAAGATTCGGACAAGTCCGGAATATACGGGCAAAATCCCATCACTGATCCAAAGTCTTGAAAACACAAAATATCTGTCAATTTAAATCAACATTGATGATGTGATCATATCGGGAAAATATGGGCTTCTGATATCCAATATTTAAGACAAAATAAACAGTTTACCATTGGTACACGAATCGTGTACCATAATGCATTTCAGCGCCATTTGTAACAAGGGACTCGAAGAACGAGGCTAGACATATTCCACAAGTCATATCAAACGATGACCTCATATTCTTATCTGGATAGCATGCGCAATAAATACTATCGGTGTAGACTGGAATAACTAGACGCTAGAGATTGCCATTCAATTGAGACTTCTGGCGTTTCTCGCCGAACATAACTGATTAGAAATTACAGTAAAAACAGAAACGGTTCAATGTAAATCAGTTTATATACATTCAGATTACATTATTATATGGGTTGCGACCCATTTGTGTCAATTTCTAGGTCCAAAATATTAGCGATTTAGCTCCTTTAAAGGTCTAGAGCAAGACTTCATGAGCCCAGTAGGAGTAGAACAGTAGGACTTTTAACCCCATTTCATTTCATTTCTCAAGATATCACTTCATGTGTCTCTCTCTACCTCTAAACCACAATAATTCAGTTTAATAGCTTAATGACCTTTATGTGAATTTCTGAGTATAAAAAAAGAATTAGCTTATACATAAAGCTATGACCATATAATTTATATAGGCTTAAAATAACATGGATTGCCAGCCTCAAGAACAACTTGAAGGTGAAAAAATCTTCTTAGCTTTTATTTAAACATAGAAAATGTTTTCATTGAGGATATTTTGCCATTGTACAATAACTTCTGGTCAAGTTTGGTGGTCATAGATTGACAGTAATATTAAGTATTAGAATAAATATGAGAATACTGTATATTTATGCAAAATTTATATTAAATTGAGAAGTTTTAATTCTTTAATTGTGTATATATTGTAAAAAGTGTAAATATGTTACATATATATAAAATTCATTTGACAAAATGAAACTACATAATTTGTGGTAACGTTTTAACAACTGAAGTTGCTCTTCGGGAATTTATTATAACATTAATTATAATTATGATTTTTATGTAGATATTGTACATTATGATATTATTGTAATCAAGTCTTTCAGTTTTAAATGTATCAAATCAAAACAGTTCTTTTGCAATCTGTATACTAGTAAAAGAGTAAATGAAGCACTGTTTTCCAAAACGCACTGCTGTTTTGAAGTGAAAGCAGGAAATTTTCTTAGAAAATAAAAGACAAAATGATGAAATTATACATCAATGGATTTAAACCAATATTTTATTTATTCTTTTTCAAATAAATAATATTTAAATTATATTAGATGGGTATAAGGAATATGAAAATGATTCCGGTAAAAAGGGTGGCATTATCACATTTTGAACAAGAGCTCTATAAAAATTAACTAGACCTGCACATCTGGCAATTTTAACAAACAGGTGAATAATGAGGACACTTGCAACCGTTTTAGTAAACTAAATTGTTTTTGCTTCTCAACACTTCTATACTTATGTTTAAAACATATTTATACTTTTTTTGTTTTAATTTGCACTAGTAAAATATATATCATTAAAAATTTTAATAGCTGTATTATGATGCCTTTGAATTGTGATAATAATATAATATTAATAATCAATATTGAATGAGGTGCCAAGCTCATGTCATGTGTCATCATTTTGAAATAATATGCGGCATAATACTGGAGCTTTATTTTCCATCCAAGAATATAATGGTAAAATATAAATGCTTTTTGTCTTTGAACTAATGTACATTTGTAAAATAATATATTTTCACTGTGTTTGTGAACTGTATGTATATTTTTGGACCATAGCATAATTAATATGCTTATATTTATGACTAATTATTGTATAAGGAAATTTAAAGGACTTTTCAATCATTATTTGCTGCTTAAATATATCACATACTCTTTTTCTTAGATCAATTTTAACCTGCATTGAAATTTATGATGTGTATTTGTTTTTTTCCCACATTACTTGGGTTATATTGAGAATAAAAAGTCAACATTAGGGACCACACAGCAGACTTTAAATTGATACAGTATTGCATGGAGTTACAGCTCAATTTCTAGATCTTTCCCAAATTGAACAACTTTGATTAGGGAATGTCAAAATGTGTATTAACTCTATAGATGTATCTGTATGACTTTTGATTTAGAATTATAGTACTGTTTTCTTCAGAATTTTAATTATAATAAACATATTGGTACATCTAAATGTTATTGCTTTTTTATAGAGAATACAGTTCTTCTCTAGATTTAAACCACAATTTATATAACGAATGGTTGTCTATTGTTAATTTTATATTATAAATGAATAAAAAAAAATTATGGATACAAGTGTATATATTCATTTTATATTTCAAAATGAAAACGATTGATATGGAGTTCCTAGTGGATTGATGTATTATTTCATTATTGTTCCCCGCCTTTCTAAGAAAGCAGGGGACTATTAAAATGGGTCTGTCTGTATGTCCGTCCGCCTGCACACTTTTTGGGATACAATAACTCTCCTTCTAATTGTCCGTCTGTCGCTCACACTTTTTGGGACACAATAACTCTTCTTCTAATTGAGCTCAAATGTTCAAATTTGGTGTGGGGTTTTATTAGGTCAATGCCTTGATGGAGTTCGAAGATGAGCATTTTCTGCTTAGGGTAAGCAATTTGATCGGTTGATGCTTTGGGACACGATAATTGATGTAATAAAACTATAAACCAAGTTTCATCACTCTCACTTAATTAGAACTAAAGTTGATGATCAATACCATGACTAAGTTCGATAGTGAGCATTTTCGGCTCAGGGTAAGCAGCGCGATAAGCAATTTGATTGGTTGATACCTTGGAACACAATAACTCTTCTAATTAAGGTAGAATGTTCAAACTTGGTGTAGGCGTTCATTAGATGAATGCCTTGATGGAGTTTGATGATGAACATTGTCTGCTTACAGTAAGCAATCTGATTGGTTGATGCTTTGGGGCACGATAACTTTGGTTTTAATTAAGTGAGAGTGATGAAACTCTGAGTATAGATTCATTATATCTTTACCTTGACTGAGGTAGATGATGAGAATTTTCTGCTTAGGCTAAGGAGCGATAAGCAATTTTGGAACATAACAACTCCACTTTTAATTAAGGTAGAATGTTCAAACTTGATGTAGGTGTTCATTAGGTAAATGTCTTCACTGAGATCAGTGTCAGTTTTGTTATGTTTCCAATTGCTAAATGCCACTAAAGGATTATATTCACTGAGTTCAATGATTCACATTTCGAGCTAAAGCTAAGCAGAGCTAAGAAATTTCATTGGTCGATGCTTTGGGACAAGATAACTTTGATCCTATCTAATAGAGAGTGCTGAAACTTAGTGTATAGTTGATAATAAGTTTGATTGCCTGATACTTTTGAAAACCAGCGGCTGCCAGGCAGGATATGCCCACATTTTTCAAGAGATGGATAGAGAACAAGCTAAACCAGTGATTATCAACGGCACACTAAAAATATGTCTCACTAAAGAAGCCATCCATTTGACTGATGAAATTCAAAACACTGCAATAAAGTAAGTTCATAGTCGTGTTTTTCTTCATTTGCATGTAGTTTGGGTCATTCTATGCGTCTATGACTAGTCTGTGTCTACGGTTGTATGCCGTCTATGACTTGTCATGTTTTTATTTTGCAAAATACAAATATTTTTCATATATCTTTAGCTAGGTGGGTCGCTATTTTGTCATGTGTTCCAAGGTGTGCCGTTGGCAAAAAAAGGTTGAGAACCACTGAGCTAAACAAAAAGTGATTTTTTTAACATCAGGGGCCATTCTTCAGGAAGGTATGATCAGATATCGAAAGCAACCAAGATCTTTGGGTTATAAACATGAATTTCAAGTTTCATCAAAATCTTATCAGAATTGTTATCTCTAGGGGGTCCACAAACCTTGATAAACCAGATGTTTACACAATTTCGTACCGGGAAGGTGGGGGGGCATTTTGTCTGGCAGTTTTGGTCCGATTTTCATGAAATTTGAACTCAACCAACAATACGGTGTAAGGGTGACATATTCAAACGTTTTTTTAAATCGGATAATATGTGACCTCTTGACGGACCACAAGCTAGAAACGCAATTTTTCATACAATCAGGGGACATAATTCAGGAAGTTACGATTCGATAGGTGCGAATATCGAAAGGAATCGAGATCTTTGGGTTATAAACATGTATTTCAAGTTTCATCAAAATCGGGTGAAAATTGTGACCTATAAAGAGTCCACAACCTTGATATACCATATTTTTACACTTATAGCATACAAGAAGTGGCTATTTTGTCCGACAGTTTTGGTCCGATTTTCACGAAATTCAATCTCAACCATCATTACGGTGTAACGGTGATATATCCACACTTTTTTTTTAAATTGGATAATAAATGTGACCTCTTGAGGGCCAACAAGCTAAAAACGCGATTTTTCATACAGTCAAGGTCCATAATTATTCAGGAAGTTACGATCAGATATGCGCAAATATCGAAAGGAACCAAGATCTTTGGGTTATAAACATGTATTTCAAGGTTCATCTAAATCGGATCAAAATTTTGAGCTCTAGAAGGTCCACAACCTTGATCCATATTTTTACACTGTTTGCGTTCAAGGGGCGGCCATTTTGTCCAGCTGTTTTGGTCCGATTTTCACGAAATTCGAACTCAACCATCTTTAAGGTATAACGGTGACATATTCAAACGTTTTTTTAAATCAGAATAAAATTGTGACTTCCATAGGGTCCACAGGATAAAACACGTGGTTTTTCGTACAATCTGGGGCCATAATTCAGGAAGTTATGGTCCGATATGCGCGAATATCGAAAGGAACCAAGGTATTTGGGTCATAAACTTACCTTTCTAATTTCAACAAAATCAGATAACCAGTGGCTGCCAGGCAGGATACGCCCACATTTTGCAAGAGATGGATAGAGAACAAGCTAAAAACAAAATCAGATAACCAGTGGCTGCCAGGCAGGATACGCCCACATTTTGCAAGAGATGGATAGAGAACAAGCTAAAAACAAACAGAATTTTTTGTACAATCAGGGGCAATAATCCAGAAAGTTATGGCCTGAAATGCACAAATATCAAAAGGGACTGAGATCTTTGGGATATAAAGATATGTTTTAAGTTTTATCAGAATCGGATAAAAATTGTGTCCTCTAGAGGGTCCACAACCTTCGTATTGCATACTTTTACACAATTTACATACTGTCGAGCATTTCATTTCGATTTTCCCGAAATTCGAATTCAACCTTCATTATGGTGGAATGGTGGAATATTTAAACGGTTTTTAAAATCGGAAAAAAAAAATTGTGACCTCTAGAGAATCCACAAGCTAAAATGTGATTTTTCGAACAATCAGGAGCCATTATCCAGGAAGTTACGTTTGGATATACGCGATTATCAAAAGGAACCAAGATCTTAGTGTGTAATGGTGATATATTCACATGGTTTTTTTTAAATCAGTTAAAAATTGTGACCTCTACATGGACGGCAAGCTAAAAACGTGATTTTTTGTGCAATCAAGGACCATAATTCAGGTTACGATCCGATACGCGCGAATATCAACAGGAACCAAGATCTTTGGGTTATAAACATGTATTTCAAATCTCATCAAAATCAGATCAAAATTGTGACCTCTAGAGGGTCCGCAAGCTTGATATACCAGATGCTACACATTATTTGCGTATGAGGGGTGGCCATTTTCTCCGGCAGTTTTGGTCCGATTTTCACAAAATTCGAACTCAAGAAACATTACAGTGTAACAGTGATATATTTAAACATTTTTTTTTAAATCGGATAATAATTCTGACCTCTAGAGGGACCACAAGCTAAAAACATGATTTTTCATACAATCAGGGGCAATAATTCAGGAAGTTAAATCCGATATGCCCGAATATCGAAAGGAACCAAGATCCTTTAGTTATAACTATGCATTTCAAGTTTCATCAAAATCAGATCAAAATTGTGACCTCTAGAGGGTCCACAACTTTATGTACCAGATGTTTACGTGTATGAGGGGCGGCCATTTTGTCTGGCAGTTTTGGTCCAATTATGGTGTAACGGTGATATATTAGAACGTTTTTTTAAATCGGATAATAATTGTGACATCTAGAGGGACATCAAGCTAAAAACGTGATTTTTCGTACAATCAGGGACCATAATTCAGGAAGTTACGGTCCGATATGAGCGAATATAGCAAGGAACTGAGATCTTTGGGTTATAAACTTACATTTCAAGTTTCATCAAAATCAGAAGAAAATTGTGACCTCTAGAGGGTCCACAACTTTGATATACCATATTTTTACTATTTGAGAACGAGGGTCCACAAGCTAAAAACGTGGTTTTTCGTACAATCAGGGGACATAATCCAAGAAGTTTCTATCTGATACATGCCAATATCGAAAGCAACCGAAATCTTTTGGAGATAAACCTATATTTCAAGTTTCGTCAAAATCGGATAAGAATTGTGACCTGTAGAGTGTCCCCAAATAATTGTGGACGGATGTCCAGACGTCCGGACGGACAGGAGCGACGACAATATACATCCACATGAAAATGTGAGCGTATAAAAATAAATGTGCGATCAATTAATATGTGTCATCTATTTATTTCGGTGGGGGACATCAGCCTCACTGTTGGCTTGTTTTAGGAAATCTGATATCGTATCTCGAAACCATTGCACTTGGTTTGGTCGTCTGCCTGAATAGGTAGGTAAAATAATAAAAATTGGTGATACAATGTTATAAATGATTTTAAAAAATTTGTTGATATGAAATATCAGCTTCCATATGTTAGACCAAGAACTTAGTATGGGCTTAGTCATTATCTATAATTCCTGTTGATGTTGCCCCTAGTATTATCCATGGATGGGGTTCAAGTGCAAAAATATCAGATATTTAAACATACATTATGCAAGAGCTAAATCTGCCTATTGCAGGTCTTTTTTAGGCCTGAAATTTTATATAAATTATTAATTAGACATTAACTAACTCATCCAGACCATAATCAACTCTTGATGTCAACGCTAGCCTGCGATATTATTTATTGGATTAGAAACCGATTTGCTGCTAATCTTTCATTCATGATTTAATCATGAAATGGATAATCGAGACTATGTCATCTATGTTTTTTATTGTACCGACTTTAGTAATGATCATCGAGGCTAGGCCGAAAATTTAATCGCTAAAATCTCGGTTCAGAGTGAATCAATTTGACTGAAATCTAGTTTAGTTTTTAACTATTATAGTGAGAACTGTCAGCTCTTTATCTAATCTCCCATAATGTATCTTTAATATTTTGATAGTATTTTGATCATAATTGATTAAGAGTACTAATAACACCTGCATATTTTTTTAGCCCTCCTAAGCATCTCTCTATAATACTACTAATGGAGAGATATATATATAACAAAATACATGGGTGTCTTCCTATCTTTATTTAATTTAAATCAAATTACCACACAACACTGACTTTGCAAGGATGTTAAAATTTCCTTAAATGGAAAAGAGATGACCCTTGCCGTCCTACGAGTACCACTACCAGCATCTTACAGAAATTAGCCTACAAATTGTTACTTGAATGGTGATATATCACAGAACAATGATATATTTAGAAAAATAATTGCGATGTGGAACCTTGCAATCAGAATGTAGGTCTACTGTGACAAATTAAAACAAGAAATACTAGGCCTGCTAAACAAACCTAACCATTTTTACATTGCAACAATGCTCAAATATTAATTAAAAGTTTAACATCCTACTTTTCTACACGGACTGGGCTAATGAACGGAATATCCAGAGGAAAGAGTGGGCTACGGTACTCACGTTGTGTTGCTCTTGCAATAGCTACGAGAACATAGCTAAAAACTTTGAGATACTGCAAACTTAAGTTCTTTATTAATGAATGTAATGTCTTAAAAATAAGTTAATTTTACACTATTATTAGTATTAGGACTAATAAACATACCCAACCCAATATAGTCAAATAACTTTCCTTATCTGCAGATATTGTCAGTAAAGTTAATCAACCAGTGTTCCTAACAGAACTGATAAGGCCATTCTATAAAGGTTTTCCTACTTTTTGCATATTTTGATTGCCTGTTGTAATTACATGACATCTTTTTTGGCCCCACCTTCATGACATAACTAGACCTCAATTTAAAATGTCTGGTAAAGCCAGCAATTAAAGCTTCGATTTAAAAGAGATGGTTTGTTTGTACCCGTGTCAGGTTGGATTATAATATGCTTAATTGTAGTTATATGTGGCAAAATGTTATAAAAAAACATAAACAATATAATCAATCGTTGTTTTGAAGAAAATATTGACAGGTTTGCTTTTTGAAACCCGATCTGATTCACATGGGGTTTTTCGCCTGGTAAAACTATAGGCCTAGTAGCCTACCATAAATAATACGGTGTAATTGCACCATCTCTTATCTCGAAACACGCTAATGGTTTCTTACGCATCTTATGCTTAGTAATTAGAACTAATAGAAGTTAGTTACTAATGTAACTAATACTAATTACTAGTTACGGTACTACACAGCACCCATGCATCGTATTAAATATTTGACTAAGTATATATTTACACACACTTTCAAATTTATGGAGAAATCACGACCAGTCAGTTGGCTAAGATCTAGGCCTAGAGTCCTTCAGATCCTTTGCTAAATAAACGAAAACATGTCTGAGGGTCGTGAAAGAACAAGTTTATTCTAATTATAGAAACTCGGGAAATCCCCGGAAGTCAGATTGTTTATTGGTGGTTCCCGCAAAAGGTTTTAAAATGGCTGCTTAAATTTCATTGGTTCGGATCTATGACGTATGGGGGTTCCAAATAGAAAGTGGCGAACTTTGTATGGATTACCCTCGGTGATATCCCTCTGGATAATCTACAATAATCTGAATCATCCATGATTTCTGAATAGTAAGTAAAATTTTAATGAAAACATAGATATTCCGTGTATATTCTGGTGGTCATATTTTAATTAGAAGATGTTATTTGTAGGATGTAAACAGAAATTTTACAGCTTGTACGACAGCCGTAACAACCTTGGTTCAAAATCTGACCTATATTGAAGCCAAACATTGCCAATTTCTCCTAAACTGGATGTTTTTACAAGCTCTAGAATTGGTTAGGGTTTCTCTAAAACTTGATTGTTAGCTCTGACTTTGCAGTCTAAAAAAACTGCCATTACATATTAACGTACGATGGAAAATATATTTGATTCACAAACTTGTCAAAATGGACTCGTCTGAACCGTCACGTCAATTTTCCGAATAATGTTGCCATGAGAATTCTTAAAAAATTACGCAAAACACCTTGTATTAGCTATATTTTATTAACACCACATGTTCATACTATAATACAGAGAAAGAATATATTATATGCATAGAAATTCATAATTGATTTAACCTATGGCATTATCTTGAACTTGTGCCAAAATAAAACTACTCGTCAACTTGCTTTCATCATTGCTTCGTCTTGAATTATGTTGTCCTCGGTCGCTCTCAGGTACATTGTTCATTTGATATTTACATTAAATCTATACACGAGAATTGAACATTTTTTTTAAATTTAAGCTCTTTGTGTATTTACTTTTATGTATTTAAAAACATATTATTATTTGACAGGTCAAAATCGTAATATAAACACGACGAATACCTCATAATATTCAATTTTTATAGCGGGAAGGGGTTGCAGGTTGTGAGACATTTGTGTACGTGGATGAGTCCATATCGTGACATACCAAAGATTTTGGCATTTGCATTGTTGTCGTTGTCAACAAACATCATATTTTTACGAGATTAATAGATGAAAACGTTTATTGCATCGTTTGAAATAATTTTAGTTATGATTTTTAATATTTTACGGCCCCTTTCAATGGAATTTTGTGAATAAACAGATTGGGGGGTGTCGGGTTGTAATGGGAGAGTTCATTTCATTGTTTGAGGTTTGAATAGCAGAAGGCAGTGTGTCAGACTGAAGCAATACATTATATCATCAGATATGTAATTAAATAGCATTTTTCTATCGAAAGCTCACGATTAATAAGTATCTTATTAGTTTTCAATTTGATAATTCTGTACATAAAGGATGTGTCAGTAATATTGCCAAAAAATGATGTCCATTTTATAAATTTAGAAAGATTAAATTAAAGCCAACATAATGGAAACCTTGACTTTGATGATGTCTACTAATTTGAAAATATCAAAGTCTTTGCAAAGAGCACAATTTAGTGTTATTTATTTGGTTTCGTCTTGATGAAATATTATTATTAGTGATCATATCTCTTAAGAGGGCTGTTAATTAGACAGGGATGAATATTCAGCAGTTCCGATGGATTTCCATGCTATTACTACTAACATACTATTTTGCAAAGATTTCTTATGAACTTAGTAGGGCAACAGGGTAAAAATGTCAATAAACAGAAAGAAAAATCTGTGCCCAGGGCAAAAAAGCAGGAACCAGATAGAGCCTGCATTTGCACCTGTGGTTCTTATTGTGGGCTTATTTTCTAGGCTGTTGATTAGAACTTTTTGTAACCAATGATGCGAGGAAGACTGTTCTTATTCACAATAAAATACATGTATTATTCTGTCATGATGCATTTTCTGATTTCAAGTCACAAATTTCACAAGAAAACACTTGGCGTGCAAGTGAAAGATCCCTTGACAGTTGGAATTCGATATAAGAGTAGGCCGTAGTGCCGCTGTCCGGGCAAAATTTCCCTCATAGCACACTGTATGGCGTATGCCCGTCTTCATTAGCCCAGTTCGGAGCAAAACAGTAGGACGTTAAACCCCATTTCATTTTATTTATATATTTGTTTACAAAAATCTCAATTTTAATATTAAGACTTGTTTTTATCGTATTAACAAAGTTAGGTTTAAACATCTTTTATTTATTATACAGTAGAGTATGTTATATAGGTAACAGTAACACGATTAAAATTTCAATTACAGATTTATTACAAGTAGTGGGTTGATACCAACAGGAAGTGGTACCATTGTTTTCCTAACTTATATTTGGCATCCTATGGGAGCCTCAAACTACTTATGAATATGAATCGTCGCATTGAAGATCAGGTAAATATTTAAGTTTACACACCTTGGGATGTTATTTCCTTTGATCTCCCATGCATGTTATGGAACGTATCAACCTGTTGTGACGTCATCTAAGGGTGATATCAGATATCTACCTTAGGGACAATATCAGATATCACCCTCTGATGACGTCACAACAGGTTTACGGACTCTGCAATGAAAAAGGACACAAATTCTTTCTTTTAACATTTTATTCACTTTTTTGAACAATGTTGTTAAACAATTCGGACAAAGAACTTTACCAGGCCCATGTTACTTAGTTTCTTCATCTGACCATCAATAACTTGTTTAAAACTCTCAAATTCTGGATTGTGTTAGTATATCCACATCAGTTTTATTTGTAATCCGTAAATGTGAAACTATTCCCATAACTAAACACGGAATTAGGTGGGTAATATTCATCATTTTATTTTGCTTACTTCCAAGACGAATCTTGACATCCCAAAAATAAGATCTTATATACTCATATCTTCCAGCACACAGGATTTTTCGCTCACTATTGCGTTTATTTTTATTATTCCGCCACACTGACTGTCACTGACCAACTGTTATAAAAGTATTTATGGGCACAGCATTGTTGGCACATTCACTGACGTCTTGTCACTCGAAATTAAAAAGCGTTTATCATTTGTATCTCACAAACCGAAATATCCGAGTACATTAAATCCTTGTTAAATATTTTCTGCATAAATTCTGGACTTGGACTAGCTTTAAATAATTCTTTGTCAGAATCTACGTTATCTTTTTCAGCCATATTTTCTACAAACTGACTTGCACGGATGAGTTCGTCGTCCGAATTGTTTGACAACATTGCACAAAATGAATGCCAGTTTGTGAACACGTGGTTACTAAAATGTCATGCATGTGCAACTTACGACTTGTTTTCTTAATTTTGTCATATCAGTCGCAGGGCCGATATGGGCTAAACCATTGTCTCTTATAGGTGAAATCAATTAGGATAGATTTAACATTGCTTAATTTTGTTGTAAGAGATAAATATTAGCCAAATACCCTCGGTCAATATGTGAAATAACCCACGGCTTCCGGACTTGGGTTATTTCACATTTCAACCCTCGATTAGGGTAATATTTATCTCTAACAACAAAATTTAGCAATTTGAACGCCTAAAAACTATATACATGTCATGTAGTTTGATTCTGGATAAGCCTGCTTTTTTTTTCATATAGATTGTGTTGAAAGTGAGGATTTGAGCATATTCTTTACAATCTGCTGAGGTTTTTTTTTTACAGAATTGTTTTCATTTCTCCATTTGCATAATATTTGTTTGTATGAAATACACATTTTTTTATAAGGTTTGTGAATAATCATCTCAAAGAAAGTTTTAAAAAATAGTTCAAATGTCATTTAAGCTTATAGCACCAGTACATGTAGCTGTTAATTGATTATCTATACACCAGTCAACTTTTGGGTGCTGTCAAGTGTCTGTGATTGTCAGGTGACCCCATCAGAAAATTATGAAAAAAATATGTTAAAGTATATGTAGGCCAATGTTATACTGAAAGGTTATATGAATGAACATGTAGCTTTAATATTGACAGAGGTATGGCTTTTTGAATCATGATTGCCATTCACATGTTTCGAAAGTACATTGTACTACGTGTATTATATGCCTTGATTTTGGTGTTCTGTTTTTATTCCTGTTATGCAGTCCATTTGACATAGAATGACTCTTATTTATAAGTATGTTCAGTTGCTCATTAGCAAACTGTGATTGTATGCAATACCAACAGAGATGGTCAGTAGTGTACTTTTTGTGAGAGCGGATGGTGATGATGTGATCGGCCAGTTTATTTTAATTTACACAATATTGTCAAATAAATTCTTGTTAAAAGATGCTTTATGTAAGATTTAGTATAGAGCTGACCATTCTTTCTATAGCCGATCAAAAATAGATAATCAAAAATTAATATATTGAAAATTTCAATCAAATAACTCGTTTTGGGCTTCTTAGTGTTCACAATATAGTCTTGATTGTCAAGTACCATTGTTATGATAATAAACAAAGTCTTGATTATTCAAGTTATTAAATGGCTATTGTCACTGTGTTTCAATCCATTGAAAATTGTGACCATCAAATGGTCTAGAGAGTTGATTATAAGCTTGGCCAGGAAATAAATGTCTAATATTAATAATTTATATATAATGACATTTGAGGCCAAAAGAAAGACCTGCAATAGGTAGATTTAGCGATTACATAATCTGCATCTTTAATTTCAGTGTGTCAATTCGATATAATTAGAAGTAAACATTTGGATTGTTTACATATGTATTCATTTCCATTTATACAGTAGTTAAAGATACATTATGGAAGATTAGATAAAGAGTTGGCAGTTCTCTCCATAATAGTTAAAAACTAGATAATGTAAAGGGAATTTGCTGAATATTTCAGTCAAATTGATCCACTCTGAACCAAGATTTCAGCGATTGAATTTTCGGCCTAGCCTCGGTCATCATTACTAAAGTCGGTACGATAAAAAACTTAAGTCTTGATTATCCATTTCATGATTAAATTATGAATGTAAGTTGAGTAGCAAATGGGATCCTAATCCAATAAATATTGCAGGCTAGCGTTGACATCGAGGGTTGATTATGGTCTGGATAAGTTAATTGATGTCTAATTAATAATTTAGATAATATTTCAGGCCTAAAGAAAGACCTGCAATAGGCAGATTTAGCTCTTGCATAATACATGTTTAAATAATATTTACACTTATTTGGTGATTATGATAGAATCAAAGTTGAAATAGGGTGATTTTATTTTTACTATTATCTTACAGCATCGTGTTAATCCCAGTGAACCATTTCAGCGTGGTGTAATAGCACCTACTCAAAGATTTAATCCTGATGTTCCTGAGAATTTATCACGTAATATACCATATAATATGCCAGGATATTCGTAAGTATCATTTGATGGATCTGTTTGAACAGAGAATATTTAATTGATTGTAAGATTTAGGATAGAATTATAGCAAGTAGAATCTCCAATTTAACATTACTCCTGCATTTAAACTGAACTTCTGATGATAGCATTTATTTTGTGCATAATTTTCTTAAATGGGCCACAATATTTGTATGTATGCATATTCATAAATATATTAATTGTATACATTAACAATTTTTTTTACAAAAAAGTGATTGTTGACTAGACAAATGCTTAACTTAATGTTAAAATATTTGATTGTGCAGATTAAACCAGTGACCGCCCTAGACATTCGCCAATTCGCCAATGGCGACAATTATTTTTATTGGCGAATAAAGTGATGATACTGGCGAAAAATTTGGCGAATGAATTTTAGAGAGTGTTATTTCGTAAATCTGCTAATATTAAACTTGAAATCGTCTCGTTAAACGCTTCTTTCGATCGACTCGATGGAGTGTCTATTTTTAGTACATTAATTACTCTAGTCTCAATCTTACAAGTCGCAAATCAGTCAATGTTACAATATTACGCATTAAAACGACCGAAAGATCGAGTCTGGAGACTATAAAACACAGTTACGCCCCTTTTGTGTGGCACTGCGTTGTTTACATTCGCTTCACTACAAGTTTTCTTTACTTACGCAGCAAATAAATAAAACGCACATTAATGACAACTAATACTAGTAAACCCAAAATAAGGATAGATTCCTTTTTCCTTCCTACGACTACTGTTAGTCCAGAATCTACTTCCGTGAGTGAGCGTGTCATCTCGGACGCAAGTCCTTCGTTGGCTTCATCAACATGTGGACAAAAATTAGACCTTTAACCGAGACCGTCGAGCTAACCCTCAATGACCTCATGCTTATAAAAATGGATGGAACGGACATAAATTTCAAATCAGCGGTGTCTTAAAAAGAATCGTCGTGTCTTTTCTGTTATGACGATGAAGTAAATTAAATCATGTGACTGTGAAGTACGTCCTATAAACATTTTTTTGTTATCTGCATTCATTCTCTCAATAATGTGAACTTTTGCATGAACAAGGAGATAAAATAATATTCTTGTGTACTATATATAGAGGATATTTGTCGTTTTAGAGTGAATAACATATTTTATTTCATCGAGAAGCAAGAAAACTTATATTTTCACGAATGCGTAGCATGAGTGAAAACATAAACGTTTTCTTGCTTAGAGATGAAATAAAATATGTTATTCACGACAAAACGACAAATGTTCTATTTATTTTATGATTTTACAATCATTTTAGTTAAAAACAACTAGCCAGTGGAATAACACTTTTATTTCACTGATAAAACGCGATATTCCACTACTGATCATAAAATAAAAGTACATATTAAACATTTATTTTGTCCGCGATATCACCTCGGTGGAAGCGGACGTAAAATACAACAAACACACACACACATTTATTTTCATTTTTAATTAACAAACATATGAATAAAAATGATATAAAATATTTGGCTAAAACTTTCTGAATTGGCTAATAAAATTTTGAATTGGCTAAAAATTTGGCTAAAGGTTTTAAGAGTCTAGGGCGGTCACTGTTAAACTATTGTGAACTAGTAGATTTGTTTTTGATATGTTCTCAGTAGCACTGACATGGGTATGGAATAATCAATTTGAAAATTTTTTATTATTAATATTACAGAGTTAGTCAAGGAGGTCATCATCCTCCCCCTGTACATCATCCATTAACTGGTGTACCGGCCCCGTCGCAACCTCATCCCCCACAACCTGCTGTACAACCTCCACAGATGCCATCACAACAGGTTAACATATCTTATATCATCATATAGTCTTAAATATTGCATATTCTATATCAACATTTTGGGATTTCTATACGCCCACATTTTCATGTGGACATATTATGCCGTCCGGATGTCCGTCCGTCCGTCCACAGTTTGTTTGTGGTCCCTCTAGAGGTCACAATTATTATCCGATTTAAAAAAAACGTGAAATATATCACCGTTGCATACGAAGATCTTAGTTCCGTTGGATAATCTCGCATATCCGAACGTAACTTCCTGGATTATGGTCCCTGATTGTTCGAAAAATCAAATTTTTAGCTTGCGGATTCTCTAGAGGTCACAATTTTTTTTCCGATTTTAAAAACCGTTTAAATATATCACCATTCCACCATAATGGAGGTTGAATTTGAATTTCTGGAAAATTGAAATGAAAATGAAACTGTCCTACAAAATGGCCTTTCTTTGTACGCAAATTGTGTAAAAGTATGTAATAAGAAGGTTGTGGACCCTCTAGAGGTCACAATTTTTATCCGATTTTGATGAAACTTAAAACATATCTTTATATCCCAAAGATCTCAGTTCCTTTTGATATTTGCACATTTCAAATCATAACTTTCTGGATTATTGCCCCTGATTGTACAAAAAATCGCTTTTGTTTTTAGCCTGTTCTCTATCCATCTCTTGCAAAATGTGGGCGTATCCTGCCTGGCAGCCGCTGGTTTTTAAAAATAATGGTATATGGATAATTCCAGTCCAGCACAGAATAATGTTTTCTGATTATTCTAAAATGGTTCCTTTTAACTGTCAAGTTAAAACTTTATATTATTTGATTTGCATGACGACAGAAACTGTTGTTATTGCAAATTAAACCAAGTAATGAATTTGTTGTTCTATTGTTATTGATTACCTTAATTAGGATCGAGAACATGTATGTATGTGAGGTATTTGTTGTGTGAATTCAAATTTTTTATGTATATTAAATTTTAATAAAATTTCAGTAATTGCATAAAATTCTTGATTAACATAATAAAATTCTTTACATTTAGATGCCACCGATAAGTATTCCAGAAGGCAGAAATGCATTTGAAAACACCAGTCAACATGCTTTACAAAGAATATTTCCTATGGATGCTGAGGTAAGTTCTTGGTACTTCATTTGGTTTGTTTTTTTCCTATTTTTGATAAAAATCTCAACACATAAAATTCTAACCAAAAGACTCTTATTCTTAATAATTGTTCAAATGTAGATTGTAGATATGATTGCATGCTATGTCGTGGATATTAATTTCAGTCCCATAATGCTCAGGTGCAGGGTCAGCAGCAACAGTTTCAAAGGTTAAAGGTTGAAGATGCTCTTTCGTACTTAGATCAAGTTAAACTACAGTTTGGTAATCATCCGCAAGTTTATAACGACTTTCTCGACATAATGAAGGAGTTTAAATCTCAAACGTAAGTATAATTGCGGCTTTTCCTCAATAATCTTTGTCGATGGGCAAGTCAAAATGTAAATTGATGGAGACTAGTAATAATAAGGCTTCGACCTTTGTTTTCTCAAACAATTATGAAAGCGCAGATATGTACTGTAGGTACTATTTTTGGGATCGTATATTGTTGTCAAGTTCGTCCGTCTTCCACAATTTCTTGTGCACACTCTCTACAGATTACATTTATCATCTGATTGTTTTGAAATTGATATATATGTTATTTACCTTAGTAAGATGAAGATGTCTATTTTATTTCAATAATTTCCGTTAATTTCTTCTGGAGCTATGGCTATTGTTTCACTTTGTTGCACCTTGTGAAACCTCTAACAACCAAAGTCATCATCTTATCTGTATGAAATTTATATGCATCATTTAAATTAGTGAAACAAAGGTGATTATTGAATTTCAGCAATTTCATTTAATTATTCTAGAGTTATGGCCCTTGTTTAACGACAGAAGATATCATCCGATCTGTATGAAATTTATATAAACATTTAGTGAAACGAAGAACCCTATTGAATTTCAGCAATTGCAGTTAATTTCTTCTGGAATTATGGCCCTTGTTTCACTGTGTTGCACCTTGTGAAAGCTCTAATGACAAAAGTTATCATCCTATCTGTATGAAATTTATATGCATCATTTAAATTAGTGAAAGGAAAGATTCTATTGAATTTCAGCAATGCTTCACTTTGTTGAGGGAACCTTGTGAACCCTCAAATGACGAAAATTAGGTATGAATAAATATGCGACAAACTTTGTCGACCGCTTTGACGATTAACCTGCTGTGGGTGTGTGGTTTGTTGCCTGGTACCCTGTCTTTAAATAAACAAGACAGTGGCTAAACAAAAGTAGTTAGAAATTAATGGAGATAACCGTCTTGATTTAGGTCAAAGTAAAGTATTCAATTCAGTTGATGTTATGGTACAAAGCTATATTACATGATTTTTGTCCCCCGCCTTTCGAAGAAAGCAGGGGACTATTAAAATGGGTTCGTCCGTCTGTCTGTCCGTCCGTCTGTCTGTCCGTCTGTCCGTCTGTCTGTCCGTCTGTCCGTCCGTCCGTCTGTCTGTCCGTCACACTTTTTGGGACACAATAACTCTCTTCCTAATTGAGCTAGAATGTTCAAACTTGGTGTATGTGTTTATTAGGTCAATGCCTTGATGGAGTTCGAAGATGAGCATTTTCCGCTTAGGGTAAGCAGAGATAAGCAATTTGATTGGTTGATGCTTTGGGGCACGATAACTCTCTTCCTAATTGGGCTAGAATGTTCAAACTTGGTGTATGTGTTGATTAGGTCAATGCCTTGATGGAGTTCGAAGATGAGCATTTTCCGCTTAGGGTAAGCAGAGATAAGCAATTTGATTGGTTGATGCTTTGGGACACGATAACTTTTAATTGAGCTAGAATGTTCAAACTTGGTGTATGTGTTTATTAGGTCAATGCCTTGATGGAGTTCAAAGATGAGCATTTTCCGCTTAGGGTAAGCAGAGATAAGCAATTTGATTGGTTGATACTTTGGGGCACGATAACTCTCTTCCTAATTGAGCTAGAATGTTCAAACTTGGTGTATGTGTTGATTAGGTCAATGCCTTGATGGAGTTCGAAGATGAGCATTTTCCGCTTAGGGTAAGCAGAGATAAGCAATTTGATTGGTTGATGCTTTGGGACACGATAACTTTAGTTCTAATTAAGTGAGATTGATGAAACTTGGTGTATAGATTTATTATATGAATACCTTAACTAAGTTCGATAATGAACATTTTTTGCTGAGGGTAAGCAGAGTGATAAGCAATTTGATTGGTAGAAACTTTGGAACACAATAACTCTCCTTCTAATTGAGGTAGAATGTTCAAACTTGGCATAGGTGTCTATTAGGTGAATGTTTAAACTTGATGTATATGTAGATGTTCATTAGGTGAATGTCTTGACTGAGTTCAATAATTAACATTTCGAGCTGAAGCTAAGCAGAGCTAATCGATTTCATTTGTCGATGGTTTGGGACAAGATAATCTTGATTCTATCTGATAGAGAGTGATGAAACTTAGTGAAAAAAATAAATGTGCGATTAATTAATATGTGTCATCTATTTATTTTGCAATTTCGGCGGGGGACATCAGCCTCACTGTTGGCTTGTTTTTTCCAATATTAATGTTTGTTTACTGAATTAAGTTTTGTTTTTGTCTCTCTGTATGAACACAAATATAATGGTTATATCTTAATATTGCCTGTGTGCCATTTGTAGATAAGCAGTTATCTATTTTTTTCTGGCTGGTTGCTGATCTACCCGCCTAAACATACATTATGCAAGAGCTAAATCTGCCTTTCTTTAGGTCTGAAATATTATAAGTTATTAATTAGACATTAATTAACTTATCCAGGCCATAATCAACTCATGATGGCATCGGATTTCTCCGATATTAAATAGATTAGAACAGTTCAGCGATATTTTGATTTAAGCTAAAAATGGAGGAGACATAGCTTCGACACAACCAGTACGGTGGTTGAAATTATTGCACACATCCTGTCAAACCTTCAAAGGCTAATATCTTCACTCGCAATAGAGTAATTTGAATGAAATTTTCAAATTATTCATTTTACATTATCTATTTTCGAACTATTATAACAAGAATGGCTAGCTCTTTATCTAAATCTAACAAAATGTATCTTTAAGCTTATATAATATTTTATTTTGTTATTTTCAGTATTGATACTCCCGGGGTAATAAATCGTGTATCTAACTTATTTAAAGGCCATCCTGATCTAATAGTAGGATTTAATACATTTCTACCACCTGGTTATAAGATTGAAGTACAATCAGAAATGATTAATGTACATCAACCAGGACAACAAGTTGTATCTATATCACAGAGTAATGTCCTCCAATTAGCCTCTGCTACAGTAAGTTTGCTTTTTTTTTTCACATAAAATCATGTTAATTTACAATACATGTATCTTAATTCAGACAGATTCTTATTAAATTTAGATTATTTATTTGATATACTTCTTACTACCTTTTATTCAGCATCCCAAAAAGAGCATATTTTTTATTACAGAGTGAATAAATTGTCATGTATTTTTTTGTGAACTTTAGCTGTATAAGCTTATTTATTTCAGCCAATGCTTCATCAGCAGAATAATGCTAGTCAGAGTCAAAATAACTCATCTGCTGCTTCTCATCATTCATATCATCAATCACCTCGTCACAATCCTGAACCTACACCCCCATCTTCACAACAACAGCAACAGCAGCAGCAGCAGCAACAACAGCAGCAGCAACAACAGCAACAACAACAACAACAGCAACAACAGCAACAACAACAACACAATAATAATAACAATCAACAGCAACAAGCTGGTCAACCCGTTGAATTTAATCACGCAATCAACTATGTCAATAAAATCAAGGTCAGTAATAAAATAAAAGATACATAATAGAGACAGCAGGGTTTCCTTACTCTTTCTATAAAACCTGATACCACTTCTCATTTGAGGTGTTCATGTAGCTTACATATAAATCTTAACTGACACTGTTCATTTTCATATATTTGTTGAAAATTTTTACTTTTGTTGAAATGATTGAATTTATTATTTGAATAATTTAATTTATTATTTGAATAATTTAATTTATTATTTGAATAATTTAATTTATTATTTGAATAATGTAATTTATTATTTGAATAATGTAATTTATTATTTGAATAATTTAATTTATTATTTGAATAATTTCATTTTTTATTTGAATAATTTAATTACTTTGAAATGATTTACTTAATTTGGATACAACACATTATGGGTTTTAAAAGAGATCTGCACTTGTAATTTGATTATTTTAGAATCGATTTCAAGGTCAACCAGAAATCTACAAACAGTTTTTAGAGATTCTGCATACGTATCAAAAAGAACAGAGAAATTTAAAGGAGGTAAAACAACTGTTTTTTTTTATTGTCATATTTCTTCCATCATGGTGTGTCACTTGGACAAGAATCCTTGTTAACAAATTTTATAGAGAAAAGGGGGAAATAAAGATGCAATACATCATTAAAATATATTTTTTATCGTTTGAACTGCAGATCAACTTAACTCCGCTGTTCTATTTATACTCTAGGGTCGTCTGTTCAACCTCATGGGTTTTCTCCGGGTCCTCCAGTTGTTTCCTCCCACTGCTAAAGACCCCTTCGCGCAAGTGAATTATTGAAATAAAATTAAACCATATGTTAGTCCCGAAATGACCTAGTTTGTGTCGAGTGGACGTTAATCCCCATTTCTCTCTCTCTCTCTCTATTCATACTCTCCCTTTGAATTAGTTGGCAACCAAATTAATGTTTGTTTATACTGTGGTTAGTTATGTAGTAACTCAGTAAACATAAATTGTTAAGATCTTCAAACTAATATGTAAGTATATTTAATATTTAACATGTTAAATGGCTGATTAGTTACAACAAATTATTTATTGCCCCATTAAATTGTAACAAAATATTGTTAGTTAGTCTTACTATACTTCAAATGAAATATGCACTAATTTGACAGTATATTGTTTATTATTTAATATTGATAATACTATTAATATTTGGTGTTTCTAGGGTTTAGTTTCATCAACGTATAAACCTTTAACAGAAGCAGAGGTCTACTCTCAAGTAGCTAAATTATTTCAAAATCAAGAAGATTTATTGGCAGAATTCGGTCAGTTCTTACCCGATGCCAATGGTTCATCATCGTTTGTTAATTCTTATGCTAGTATATTTACTCATGCTGTGGTAAGTCATGTAAGTAATTTTATTTTTTTTGTCTGATTTAATGTACATATACTCAAAACGATATCTATTTTAGTGAAATACATAATGCAAGACTATATTTGATTTGGCTGTAGAAATGATGATTAATATAATCAGCAGTAATTATTGATATATTTAGTTATTAATTAGAAACATTGATCTGGTCTAATCCTTAAGTTTATTAATTATTTAAACAGAAACAAAGCATTCTAGAATGACTTGAAACTAAAGTTAGAATAACTATGTAATGGTATTATTTTGTAAACGTTATTGCTTTTTCCCTTTTTTTAGTAAATGTGAACTTCAAAGGTTATCAACCTAATGGTTTAGATTTCAATGACACTTCTCCAATGAAAAAAAATATATATTTGGGGGGCAATTGTCTTAAACCCATTACATGATAGACATTTTGTATTATACAAGTTTAACAATCATTACATCATGTAATTCCACAAGTTAATGTACTATAAAAGAGTTAGTATTAACTGTCGTGTTATAATGCCTGATTTGAATAGAGATGCAGTCCTACCTACACAAGTGTACAAAGGAATAGCTACATTTTGTCTTATTTCTCCCTCACAGAATGATTCATCAGCACTGGGTGTAAGGAATGACCATTCTTCAACAGTTAAAAAACCTGGTTTTAATAACAAGAATCAGTCAAATAAAAGTAGTCAATTAAAACGTCCCATGCCTGGTTCACAGATACCTGCTAAGGTAGGAAATTTTGATCATCTTACAGTGTGTTTGTTGAAACAAAATATTACTATTTTATGTTAAATTTTACAATCCCCTTCTGTTGCCATCTCTTGGTTTAGGTCTCCAGTGTTAAATAAGCCCAGAAAAAAATGTTGTGTTTCCCCTTCCTACCTACCCTAATTTTACCCCACCAATTTCGAGAGACTGTCAGTTATACCCGTTTGTAGCCGTTGATTTAGCTGGTTTCAGTTTACCAAAAGAGGGAACTTTTTTAGCAACCAAATTCTTGTAAAACAAAAAACTTTGTGTTAGTGTTACTGCACATCATTCAATTGATATGGTACATGTACTAGATGTTAAGAACCTATAATAATACTGATAATAAATACCTTTTGTGGGGAAATAAAACATTCCTTTTGTTATGAATGTGGACGTATATTGCCGTCGCCCCTGTCTGTGTGTGTAGCCTACAGGCCACAATTCTTAAGTGATCATCTTGAAACTTTACATACTTTATACCCAAAGGATGATCCTTATTGTTTTTGGTGCATGCCCGACCCCCAGGAGAAGAGCCACGCCCATTTCTTGTATTTGTTTGTTTGTCATCTGCAGGTCGCATTTCTTAACGTATCATCTTGAAACTTTGCATACTTATTCTTTGTATCCTAAGGAACATCCCTATCGTTTGGGGTGCATGCCCAACCCCCAATAGCAGAGCCACACCTATTTTCTTTTTGTGTGTCGTCTGCAGGCCACAATTCGTAATCAATCGTCTTGAAAAATTCTCATATGAATTCCTTATACCCTAAGGATGATCCCTATTGTTTTTGGTGCATGCCCGACCCCCAGTGGCTGAGCCATACCCATTCTTGTATTTATTTGTTTGCCATCTACAGACTATGGAGCGGAATTTCCCTCAAAATTCTAACTCCTAACCTAGTAATGCGTATGCTAATATGCTTACTTCTACGCATGTAACTTCTTACTAACACATTTTAAATTGGCTATTTACACATGTAAAAGTTCTAATTTATATAACTTATTTTTTAAATATTGCAGTTAGAATTTGTATTTTGTTTTATTTGCATTATTACATTTAATTTATTGTAGTCAGTTTAGCTTCGTTAACATTTTGACATTTTACAAATGTATCGCGGTAAAGGCATCATAATTCTAAAACTCATTTTGATAACAGACGGGGCTGTGTACAAATGTATTTTGGCTCATTGGAAACATGTAAAATCGCGTCCTTTCCACAACCCGACAGAGATGACGAAATTTTTCTGTCAAAAATAATAAAATATTTTACGTACAAAAGCAAACTATTCTAGATATTTTTTTATACGCCCACATTTTCATGTCCGTCCGTCCATCCACAATTATTTGTTGACACTCTACAGGTCACAGTTTTTATCCGATTTCAACGAAACTTGAAATATAGGTTTATCTCCCTTAGATCTCGGTCCCTTTCGATATTGGCATGTATCAGACCGTAACTTCATGGATTATGGCCCCTGATTGTACGAAAAATCACGTTTTTAGCTTGCAGACCCTATAGAGATCACATTTTATCCGATTTTGTTGAAACTTGAAATGTAAGTTTATAACCCAAAGATCTTAGTTCCTGTCGATATTCGCACATACAAAGTTTTAGCTTGTGGACCCCTATAGCGGTGATAATTTTTATCCAATTTCAAAAAACGTTTTTAAATATAGCACGGTTACACCCTAAGGATAGTTTAGTTTGAATTTCGTAAAAATCGGGACCAAAACTGACAGACAAAATGGCCGCCCCTCAAATAGCGTAAAAATATGGTATGTCAATGTTGTAGACCCGCTAGAGGTCACAATTTTCTTCTGATTTTGATGAAACTTGAAATGTAAGTTTATAACCCAAAGATCTTGGTTCCTTTCGATATTCGCGCATATCGGATAGTATCTTCCTGAATTATGGCCCCTGATTGTACGTAAAATCTTAAACCCCATTTCATTTCATTTGTACGTAAAATTGTGGATGTCACAATTATTATTCGATTTAAAAAACGTCCAAATATATCACCGTTACACTGTAATTTTGGTTGAGTTCGAATTTCGTGAAAATTGGACCAAAATTGCCAGACAAAGTGGACTCCTCTCATACACAATTAGTGTAAACATCTGGTATATCAAAATTGTGGACCATCTAGAGGTCACAATTTTGATCTGATTTTGATGAAACTTGAAATGCATGTTTATAACCCAAAGATCTTGGTTCCTTTTGATATTCGGGCATATCAGATGGTAACTTCCTGAATTATGGCCCCTGATTGTATGAAAAATCATGTTTTTGGCTTGTGGCTAGAGGTCACAATTGTTATCCAATTTAAGAAAAACGTTCGAATATATCACTGTTACATCATAATGTTTATTGAGTTCGAATTTTGTGAAAATCGGGCGAAAACTGCCGGACAAAATGGACGCCCCTCGTACGCAAATAGTGTATAGCATCTGGTATATCAAGCTCGTGGACCCTTTAGAGGTCACAATTTTGATCTGATTTTGATGAGAGTTGAAATACCTGTTTATAACCCAAAGATCTTGGTTCCTTTCGATATTCGGGCATATCGGATCGTAACTTCCGATATTATGGCCCTTGAATGTACAAAAAATCACGTTTTTAGCTTGCCGTCCATGTAGAGGTCACAATTTTTATCCGATTTATTAAAAAAAACATGGGAATATATCACCATTACACACTAAGATCTTGGTTCCTTTCCGATTTTAAAAACCGTTTAAATATTTAACCATTCCACCATAATGAAGGTTGAATTTGAATTTCAGGAAAATCGAAATGAAACTGCCCGACAAAATTGTACGCAAATTGTGTAAAAGTATGCAATACGAAGGTTGTGGACCCTCTAGAGGTCACAATTTTTATCCGATTCTGATGAAACTTAAAACATATCTTTATATCTTTTGATATTTGCGCAATTCAGACCATAACTTTCTGGATTATTGCCCCAGATTGTACAAAAAATCCTGTTTGTTTTTAGCTTGTTCTCTATCCATCTCTTGCAAAATATGGGCGTATCCTGCCTGGCAGCCGCTGCTTTTCATAAATAAATAGGCTATTTTATTGTGCATTTTCACAAATAATGCACTATCGATTGTTTTGACCTATTTGGTTTTTAAAAGAATAATATATAGCAAGAACTCCTCACGTCATGCATGAAAGTGAATAAATGAATATAAATCGGTAATGCTTAGTTTAGCTTATCTCTTTCCCTCAAAATTATGAAATATTTTACGCACACAAGTAAAGTATTTTTGATATCATTGAAGTAATCTATATCGACGCAGGCTTCCAAATCATCAGGAACTGCGGTGTCTCGGCGAGTAACTAAAATTCCAATATTATGCTCCAGTTGAGGGGTTCCGGGATAATTGTCACCACCTCTCCCCTCTTATATTTTAATGTTTCAGTGCCTATAAATTTGGAATCAATAAATTTATACCAATGATACTTGACAGGACTGCAAAGGTACATAACCTTAATATTGATTAGTCAACATCGGGTAGTATAGACAAATATTATGCTTTCAAGATTTTGCATCCACCCATATTTTCATGGGCACGTATTATGCCATCAGCCCTGTCCGTACGTGTGTCTACAGGTCACAATTAAACTATATGTTGATATCCCCAAAACCTCGAATTGGTTCGATTTTGGCACTTATCTCACAAAAATTTTGGATTATACATGTAGCTCCTGATCGTACGCAATTCGCACACATAGCTTCTGGATCCTCTAGAGGTCTCAATTTTTATTCAATTTCTTTTAAAACTTAAAATGTATGTTTATTTCCGACAGATCTCGAATAGGTTCATTTTTGGCACATATCGGGCCATAATTTCCTGGATTTTTTCTCCTGGTTGAACGAAAATCGCGTACATAGCTTTTGTGCCCCGAAGAGATCATAATTTTGATTAGCAATATGTTTAATACACAACTATCACTGATGAATTTGATTTTGATTTTGGAGTAAATCCCGTTAAAATTGCCTCGTCCCTTTACACAAATACATGTAGTGACAAGCATGTTATACATATACCAATGGTTAGATGACACTTAAAATATGCGTTGAAGGTCGACGGATCTGGTATGAGCATTTAGTTTGGACTGCAGAATCATGGGTTATCGACCCTGTCATTTACGTAAGAAGAGAAGTATGCACAAAGTTTCTGGCCCAATTTTAAAATATATGTTCGGAATCGAAATATCCTGGATTGTTTTGAATTTGGTGAGCATCGGACCTTCCGCTCAAATGTTATCCCCCCCGTTTCCGAAAACATCGTGAACGCGATACAGGCTATAATATTTAACTGATTTTTTTTCTAAGCCAAAAACTCCATCAATATTCAACCTTCTGTAACCTCCCTTTAACAGATTTAATTCTTGTTCGATGTAAATCATTGGGAGAATGGGCCCTGTCGGTTTATCCTGTACACCTGCATTCCCTGACCTTCTGTCCGGCGGGGATCACGTGGCTAAGTGGTAAGACGCTGGCTCGCTAGCCTGGAGGTTGGGTGTTCGATCCCTGCATTGACCGAGAAAGTTCATCCAGATTTTCCGGCGTGGTTCCCCCTTGTCAGAGATGCAGGACGGAGGCCCTGACAAGGACAGCTATCTAGTCCTTCGGATGATACAGAAAACCGAGGTCCCATGTTTACATTGGAATGCACGTAAAAGATCCCTTGGCAGTTGGAATTCGGTATAAGAGTAGGCGATAGTGCCGCTGCCCGGGCAAAATTTCCCTCATAGCACACTGTATGGCGTATGCCCGTCTTCATTAGCCCAGCATAGGAGCAGAACAGTAGGACGTTAAACCCCATTTCATTTCATTTCCTTCTGTTCGGAAGTTATCCCCCTTTTCCAAAATCTTGTAGACCTAGGGGCTTTATGTTTACATCTAAGGTATCATTTTCCTTTTCTCAATCCAATTTCAAGTGAAATAAAATATTGTTTATAAACCAAAACAAACACAAAAAAAACTTTGCTCTACTGGTGTATTTCCAGATTACTTAAATAATATCAGAATAATTTACTTTTGCACGTAAAATACTTTATTTTTCTTTAGAGAAAAAAACATAGCCTAAATGTGGACGTATATTGCCGTCGCCCCCGTCCGTCCGTCCATCGTCCACAAATATTTGTGAACGCTCTAACGCCAAAAGTTATCATCCAGTTGTTTTAAAATTGATATATGTTGTTTGCATTAGAGAGATGAAGAAGCGTTTTTAATTTCAATAATTTCCGTTTATTAGGTCGAGAGTTATGGCCCTTGTTTCACTTGGTTGAACGTTGTGAACGCTCTAATGCCAAAAGTTAACATCTGATCTTTGAGAAATTTATATGCAATATTTAGATTAGGGAAACAAAGAAGCCTATTAAATTCCAGCAATTTCTGCTTATTACTTCTAGAGTTATGGCCCTTGTTGCACTTTGTTTAACCTAACCGTGTGAACACTCTTAACACCAAAAGTTATCATCCTATCTTTCTGAAATTTATATGCATTATTTAAATCAGTGAAACGAAGAAGCCTATTGAATTTCAGCAAGTTCCGTTTATTATGTCTAGAGTTATGGCCCTTGTTTCACTTTATTGAACCTTGTGAACGCTCTAACGCTAAAAGTTATCATCCGATCTTTCTGAAATTAATATGCATTATTTACATTAGTGAAACGAAGAAGCCTATTGAATTTCAGCAATTTCTGTTTATTACGTCTAGAGTTATGGCCCTTATTTCACTTTATTGAACCTTGTGAACGCTCTTACATCAAAAGTTATCTGCCGATCTGTATGAAATTTGCATGCGTCATTTAAATTAGTAAAGAGAAAAATCCTATTGAATTTCAGCAATTTCAGTTTATTACTTCTAGAGTTATGGCCCTTGTTTCACTTTGTTCAACCTTGTTAATGCTCGATTGATGAAAGTTATCATGCGATACATATGAAATTTATATGCGTCATTTAAATTTGTGAAACAGGTCTATTGAATTTCAGCAATTTATGTCAATAAGTTATGGCGGTTGTGAACCTTGTGAATGTTTGAATGACAAAATTGATCATCTGATCAGTATGAAATTTATATGCATGATTTAAATTATACTATTCAAAAAAAGTAGGGGATATTTGATTTTTAAGTGTTATTAAAGTCACCTAATGAAACTGACGAAGAAACAAATGCAGTCGATTCCGAATCGTCTGGCCACTCACTCTCACACCAGTGTCTGTTTGAAGACGAGCGCTGATCTGATTTGCTGTGATGACACGATTTCTCAAGGCCAAGGTACGGATAAATCGATCCTGGGCTTGAGTTGTCGCCCTTGGTCGACCTGAGCGTGGTCTGTCCTGTACAGATTGTGTATCACGGTATCTGGACCATAGCCTGCTTATGACAGACTGAGAAACATTCATCGTCCGCGCCACAACCGCCTGTGTTGTGCCGATCTGTAGCATGCCAAGGGCACGTAACCTTTCATTTTGGGTAAGCCGACGCATATCAAAATTTGTTTTCTGGTCACTAAAACAATTAAACTGATGTTTCCACCCTGGAATTCAATGCCACAATGACTGTAACATTCAAAGTCAGAGTCGTGCAAATCTTGGGTTGGACCCCCATGATGATCCCAAGCATCACCTGCATTCCATGCGGTAGCTATTGGTGCGTTTGGGCGTCACATGTAACTGGAAATGTTTCTTCTGTTAGGTTCTATAGTGACTTTTTTCGTAGTCATTTGCATATTTTAGTATTATGCCCCCAAAATCAAATATCCCCTACTTTTTTTGAATAGTATAGTAAAACAAAAAAGCCTGTCAAATTTCAACAATTTCTATAGATTACTTCCAGAGTTGAGACCCTTGTTTCAGTATGTAGTCAAATTTCAACAATTTCTGTAGATTACTTCCAGAGTTGAGATCCTTGTTTCAGTTTGTAGAACCTTGTGAACCCTCAATCGGCAAAAATTATAATCTGATCTGTATGGAACTGTCTTGTAAAGGCCCCCAATTACCTACAATGCGACAACCCTTGACGACCTCTCAGACGATTTAGCTGCTGTGGGCGTATGTTTCGTTGCCTGGCAACCAATTTTTTGAGATTGGAATAAGAAACAGGAAATGATAATTCAGATATAAAATTACAGCAAAATTAGTAAGATCAATTCAATACAAGCGTTTGCCCAATGCTCAAAAGAGACCCCCTACCTCATAAGACAAAACCGATGATTTTGACATTAAACATACATTATGCAAGAGCTAAATCTGCCTATTGCAGGTCTTTCTTTAGGCCTGAAATGTTATCTAAATTATTAATTAGACATTAATTAACTTATCCAGACCATAATCAATGTCGATGTCGTCGCTATCCTGCGATCTTTAGTGGATTGTGAGCCGATTTACTGCATAACTTTCCTTCACGATTTAATGATTAAATGGATAATCGAGACTATGCTGTTTATTGTACTGACTTTAATAATGATGATCAAGACTACATGTAGGTGGAAATTCAATCGCTTTGTTCTTGGTTCATAGTGGATCAATTTGAATGAAATTTTCAGCAAATTGCCTTTACATTATCTTGTTTTTAACTATTCGTTATCGAATCTCCAATAATGTATCTTTAACAGATCCTTTGGAAACTTTGCATACCTACATGTATTCCTTATACCCTAAGGATAACCCCTATTGTTTTTGGGGGGTTGGATGGCTGAATTGTTAGCACGCTTGTGCTGTATCATATGATCTGTCATTGAGTCAACTGGCAGAGTTTCGATTCCCCGGTTGTACGTGACAAGGAGTAGAGTCGCCTGTCCAACCCCATGGGTTTTCTCTGGGTCCTCCGGTTTAATTCCGCTGCTAAAGACCCCTACGCGCAAGCGAATGATTGAAATAAAATTGAACTATGTGTTAGTCCCGAAATGACCTAGTTTGTGTTGAGTGGACGTTAAACCCCATTTCTCTCTCCCTTTTTGGTGATTGCCCAACCCCCTTGCTCAACCCCCAGGGCTAGAGCAACACCCATTTTTTTTCTTTGTGTCTCTGTGCGTTGCCTACAGGCCACGATTCTTAACGGATCAACTTGGTACTTGGCATATGTATTCCTTATAGCCTAAGAGTGTCAACTATTGATTTTGGTGAATGTTCGTCCCCCCAACCCCACCCCCCCCCCCCCCCCCCCCCCCCGGGACAGAGCTACGCCCAATTTTTGCCTTTAGTGCCCGAAGGCCACAGTTCTGAATGGATTATCTTGGAACATGGTATATTCCTTATACCCTAAGTACTGCAGCTGCAATTCTGAATGGATCATCTTGTTACTTTCAATATTTATTCCTTATACCGTAAAGACAGCATGCCCCGACCCCCTGGGTCAGTATCACACCCACTTTTTTGTTAACAATTTGTAAATTTGGCAAAACATACCCAAACCCTAGCCTTCTTTGCCTCTTGTCATATTACAGCCATTTCATATCTCATTCTCTTCATTTTAAAAAGTACCATATCAATCAAAGCAGGAATGTGGACGTATATTGCAGCGTTAGCGATCATCTTGTTTGGCTTACTGTGATTGAAACTAAATAATTTCTATGTTTATATATTTATACAGAAACCTAAAACAAGTAGTTTAAAAGATGTGTCATTAGCAGAAGCTGGTAAATATGGTACGCTGAATGAATATGCATTTTTTGACAAAGTAAGTAGCTTATTATGATTATAGACTGTACATGTGAAAAATATTGTGACACACTAACTTTTAACTTTTATATGACTTACGTATAGTAAAACTATTATTAGAATAAGAATATCAGAATCCTGAATTGTTTTATAATACAAGTCTTATTCTTGTCAAGGGTGAATATTTTTACTGACAACAAAGATTACCTTGATTATGACATTGTGCATTTTTGTGTTGTGACAAGCATTCTCGTTTTTGGACAAGGAACTGGAGGTGATTCTCTTCAAAAAGCCTAATGCTCCACCAATTCAAGTACAATCGACATGAAATTAGTTCCTCGGACATCAATTGGCAGACTTTGATTTTTTATATGACATCCCATTTCCAAGATGCTTTGTTGCTCCTGTTCCATACAGTACTATCATACTTTTTTTAAAAGATATATTCATGGATAATTGAATTTATTCTATATTTGTTTTCAGGTACGCAAAGCTTTAAAACACCATGAAGTATATGATAACTTTTTACGCTGTCTAGTTCTCTTTAATCAGGAAGTTATCTCACGAAATGAACTAGTCCAACTAGTTCAAAATTTTCTAGGGTAAGATATTCACCGATTTACGTAGAAAAGAAGAACCGATCTATTGTTGCGGTCATATAATTTTTTTCAGAGTAATCCTTAATTCATTGATCAAGTGACTGCTTAGTATTTGAATGATGATTGTCTTTTGAAGCAGAGTATGCTTTCGCATTGTAGAACCCCTGATAACACTTCTCATTTAATGAGTTCACAAATCTAACAAATTTTTGTTGTACCAAGAAACCTATTAGATTAAAATAAAGATCTTTTTACTAGCTTAATTTAGGTTCCCAATGCGTTCTACTAAAAGATTGTAAAAAAAATAATTTCTAAACAAGTTGGTATTCTATATTTTTTATCAGAAAATATCCAGAGTTATTAAAATGGTTTAAAGATTTTCTTGGTTGTAAAGAATCTGGAGGTACAACAGAAGCCATTCCACAACCAGCTACAGCTAAAGAAAGAATCAGTGGTGAATTATTAATGGAAATAGGTAATTATACTTTCATTAGTTTAATTATATTTTTTCCAAAGTTATTGGAATGTATTGTACAATAATGCCCCTGTTTGATATATGTGACCAGCCGTAGCTAAATGAGACACATGGAACAAAATATCAAAAACCAGGTACTGGTATACATTATGGTGTGGGTCCGGGGCTCACACTGGCTTTCAGTTTTTTTCCACTAAATTGGATTATAAATTTTATATAAAAAAATGTTCATATTTTTTTTCCGCCAACTGGAATATTTTATCTCCCAAATATGCGTGATAAAAAAGACAAGAGGTCCATTATAAAACAATTACTTGTATATATACTCTTCAAAAAAAGTAGGGGATATTGAAATGCAAATACCTATGCAGGTTGTCATATGATAAATAGTCATGGACACTTGACATGCTTTGAGAGTATGTTCACAGATGAAGAACTTAGCGCCCAAACATAACAACTGAGCTGCACATGCGACACGCAACAGCCCCTTCAAGGAAGGGTTGATGAAAACTGCTGCTTGATGGTTTATCCTATCCATGTTTGCTTTCCTATCGGTTCTTGCATAAGATTTACTGTTTAGCGTATCTTTGCTTTAGTGTGTTACATTTAATTTGATTGGGAGACATGTTCGTCAACATCAACCGACAACACTGCAAGAATTGGCCGTGGCACTGCAAAGGAGTGGGTCAGATTGCCCCAAAACATGATTGGACGGTTGATTAGGAGCATGCCACGACGAATTGCTGAAGGTCTGAGGATTGGTGGAGCAATTACTCATTATTAAGACAAAAACAAAAACGTCCATTTTCACTTTTGACAGTGTATCTCTTTGCAGTGAAATGGGGGCGTCAGATAAGCCGCCCATATGAACTGTTTATATTCATGTGTAGGCAATTGGCCTGATATTAACATACACTGGTTACCTCTAATAAAAACAGCAGTGCATTTCCGCAGTTTTGTATTGTTTCTGAATATCCCCTACTTTTTTTTAAGAGTATATAATATATAACAACATAAAAATCCGTTTTAGATGATTTACTAAGATCAGATTTTATTTTTTTATGACTTTAGTCTGTTTGCACACCATAGTGCACAATATATTTTCATTATTTACACGTGAAATCTCATGAAAGGATTGCCAATTTTCTATAAATTTATATTTTGTGTGTACAATAGGCCTATTGTCATTTTCATGTATTGTATAGAATGATATAAATTTCAATTTTATTTGTAAGATACGCTTACAGTTCTACTTGTTTACTATGTAGAGCATTTTGCATGTACAATAGACCTATTGTCATTTTCATGTACCATATAGAATGATATAATTTCAATTTTATTTGTAAATGTAAGATATGCTTACTATTTAGCGCATTTTGTATCACTTTGCCCCTTGAGACAATGGTGGGTCTTTATAAAACTGTCTCTTCAATTTTGTCTATAAAGTTATATCACATGTACTAAATGAACGTGGATATAGTTATTCGTAAAAAACAGTGATGTTTTGGTCAAATTATGATCATTGTCAAAATAGTCATCAAATTCTAGCTGTTAATCGACCTAGGGTTGATAGACCAAAAATAGGTAATGTTGCCTGTCTTATTTGTGGGAAATAAAGAGTTTTATTCCTTATATGGCGTGGAAATTCACGTCAAGGTTATTGAAGACCTGCAAAAAGTAGGGGGTATAAATTAGGGTGTAGAGGAGAGCTAGATTAGAGCTCACCCAGAAATTCTTACCAGTCATTACCATTGAGAACGAGGAACCTGAAAAGCCAGTACAACTTAGTAATAAAGTTGTGAAACCAGTATTACTGTAGTGTTATTTACGATCACAAACACAACCAATAAAGAAGTCCGTAGTACTACAATTTTGGGGGCAGTAATATGACGGACCGTTTTCTCACTCTTGACTCATTATTACATTTCCGACCAATGACGATAATATAATTTGAAATAATAATATCCGATTAGGCATGCTTGTATATATTACATGCCATAGTAAACGGAATTCACCTACCAAAATATTGAATTATCTTGTCGGAAAAGGATTGTCGGCCATTTTGATTATTTCCATTTATTTTTATACATCAATGTGGACGTATATTGCTGTCGCCCCTGTGTGTGTGTCTGTGTGTCGCCTACAGGCCACAATTCTTAAGTGATCATCTTGAAACTTTACATACTTATTCCTTATACCCTAAGGATGATCCCTATTGTTTTTGGTGCATGCCCGACCCCCCGGGCCAGAGCTACGCCCATTTCTTGTATTTATTTGTTTGTCGGCGTCTACAGGCCGCATTTCTTAACGTATCATCTTGAAACTTTGCATACTTATTCTTTGTACCCCAAGTAACATCTCTATCGTTTGGGGTGCATGCCCAAGCCCCAGGGGCAGAGCCACACCCATTTTTATATGTCCACATTCATAATGAAACATTGCATACTTATTCTTTGTACCCCAAGGAACATCTCTATCGTTTGGGGTGCATGCCCAACCCCCAGGGGCAGAGCCACGCCTTTTTATACGTCCACATTCATAATGAATTCCTTATTCACTAAGGATGATCCTGACCCCCAGTGGCAGAGCCGTGCCCATTTCTTGTATTTATTTGTTTGTCATCTACAGACCGCATTTCTTAACGTATCAGCTTGAAACTTTGCATACTTATTCCTTCTATCCTAAGGAACATCCCTATTGTTTGTAGTGAATGCCCAACCCCCAGGAGCAGAGCCACGCTCATTTTCTTTTTGTATGTCACTTACAGCCCGCAATGCTTAATCAATCGTCTTGAAAACTTTTTTATACTTATTTTTGGTGTATGCCTGACCCCCTGGGACAGAGCAATGCCCAATGTTTGTGTGTCTTGTCTTGTGTTTCGCCTACAGGCCGCAATTCTTAACAGATCCTTTTGAAACTTTGCATACCTATTCCTTATACCCTAAGGATAACCACTATTATTTTTTGGTGATTGCCCAACCCCCAGGGGCAGAGCCACACCCATTTTTTCTTTGTGACTCTGTGTGTTGCCTACAGGCCACGATTCTTAATGGATCGTCTTTGAACTTGGGATATGTATTTCTTATAGCCTAAGGACGACAACTGCATGTCCCGACCCCCTTGGGCAGAGCCATGCCCAATTTTTGGGTTTATTGTTTACAGGGTGCAATTCTGAATGGATCAACTTGGTACTTGGCATATGTATTCCTTATAGCCTTAGGATCTCAACTATTGATTTTGGTGACTGCCCCGACCCCCAGGGGCAGAGCCACGCCCAATTTTTGCCTTTAGCGCCCGAAGGCCACAATTCTGAATGGATTATGGAACTCTGTATACTTATTCCTTATACTTATACCCTAAGGACGGCATCTATTTATGTTGGTGCATGACCCCCTCCTCCACCTCCCCCTGCCCTTTAGGCAGTGCCACATCCACTTTTTGTTGATATTGACAGCAAATATTTATTTTCGTGCATGCCCCAAACCCCAAGGGCAGTGTCACACCCACTTTTTTGTTAATATTTAGTCTACAAATTTGGCAAAACAAACTCAACTCCTAGCCTTCTTTGCCTCTTGTCATATTACAGTCATTGCAGCCATTTCATATTTTATTCTCTTCATTTTAAAAGGATAAGGATTTCATTTTAAAAAGTACCATATCAATCAAAGCAGGAATGCGGACGTATATTGCAGTGGTAGCAATGCTCTCATTTTTATTGTTCAAGAATATTTTTTTCGGAGAAGAAAATAATATTTCAAAGTAGAATTCTTCTGAAAATAACCTTCAATTTCAATTATGTAGAGATTTTTCAGGATTACTATCAAGTTCTTGCAGGAAATAGTGAATTTTGATTTTTCGAAAAAGGTCATTTTATTATGATTACCAAATTTTATTTAATTTTTTTTTTACTTAAATGAGAGAGAGAGAGAGAGAGAGAGAGAGAGAGAGAGAGAGAGAGGTTTAACATCCACTCGACACAAACTAGGTCATTTTGGGATTAACATATGGTTTAATTTTATTTCAATAATTCGCTTGCGCGTAGGGGTCTTTAGCAGTGGGAGGAAACCGGAGGACCCGGAGAAAACCCACGAGGTTGGACAGGTGACCCTACTCCTTGTCACGTACAACCGGGGATTCTAAACCACGCCAGTTGACTCAATGACAGGCTTTATGATACAGCGCGCACATGCTAACCATTCGGCCATCCAACCCCCCCTTAAAAAATAGATTTATGAAATTATTTAATTGATTTATTATAAGACTAGCAGGATACCCGGCTTCGCTTGGGGGTCATAACTCCGAAACCGGAAGTGGTAGACTAACGCCACCTGGCCTATGTTACTCCCCGGTCCGAGCTACCCCTATACCCCAAATTTCAGATTCGGGACAGACCTAGTGTAGCCGCCAACCCCAAACAGACAGACAGACAGACAAATGACAGTGACAAATATATATATATATAGATATAAACAAAGACGAGAACAATGATAATGGTAGTAAAACAGTAGATTTTATAAAAAAAAAAAATTAAAAAAAATTACGCATGGATGCTTTGGCGACATACACAGACTTAGATTTATTTTTTCATTTTATGTAATTTATAATAATATTTGATATTGTGATGATTATGAATATGATAAATATTGTGTTATTAATAGTTGTATTTCATGCCATATCATAAAGGAGCCTATAACATACATCTTGCTATAGATATTTTCTACAATTTACATAAACAAATATTGTTTTACCATTTAGTCTTCTGTTAAGAATTAATAACATGATTATTTGTATATTCAGATTTTGCTACTTGTAAGAGATATGGAGCAAGTTACAGAGCTTTACCTAAATCTTACCCACAACCAAAATGTTCCGGTAGAACACAGCTTTGTCGTGAGGTAAGCATTTCTTTGTTCAACTTTGATAATCCAAAGTATATTTATGTAATGATATGCCAACAACTGAAGATAAGCCACCCATATGAACTGTTTATATTCATGTGTAGGCAATTGGCCTGTTATTAACATACATTGGTTACCTCTAATAAACACAGCAGTGCATTTCCGCAGTTTTGTATTGTTTCTGAATATTCCCTATTTTTTTTGAAGAGTATACATCTCCGATATATGGGTGTATATTTCTATGATACATGGGTGTTATATATTTTTGTATTGATACTTGAACACAGAGAACATGCCATTGCGTTAACTCAAGAGGGCTTGAGTACCAGAGCCATTTGAAGCAGCACAAACCGCCATTCAGAGACTTATATCATCCAGGTTACACACATATTACTGATTTTTGGTTACTAAAAGCCTTGTGCCTGTATTTTTCTATGTAAAGTAAAGTTGTTATGGTTTCTTGTGTCGGTACATTTGTAAATGTCCACCAGCCTACAATCATGTCTAAAATCACATTTCAGCTGCATTATATCTCCTCACATAAGTGGTGTGTTTTCATTTAATCACAGTTTGTAGGTATTAAATGATACATGGATGTTGTTATATATTTGTAGGTATTAAATGATACATGGGTGTCGTTTCCATCCTGGTCTGAAGATTCTACATTTGTAACATCACGTAAAACACAATACGAAGAACATATATATCGATGTGAAGATGAAAGATTTGAGGTATAAAAGTCAGAAAAAAATACTTGCAGATTAATCTGGTAGTATAGATTTTCAAATAAAAGATGCTAATGCTTGCATGCTATCATTCCTGATTTAAATGACTATTACTATAGTACTGTACTGCCTTCAACTTTTATGAACAGAACGGCAGGGTGTTGTTTAGTCAATTTTTTTATTAAACAGCAATTAATGGGAGTTAGCTATATGTAGTTTAATCCAGCTCTATATAAAATTATAGTTGGACCTGTCAGGTATTACTGAACTAGTATCTGACATTTTAAACTTTGTGCCAGACTTATATTAACAATATCAATAAAAACACAGAAATAAGACAAATCTGTGCCAGACAAAATGATGGCGCCAGTGAAATTGTGCCTGACAATGTCTTTCACAGGTGCCGTATTTCCAGGCTTGTTACTTACACAGAATTAATTGTGGTGTTGTAGTGAGTAATTCTTTATAATATCTGGTTTTATTTCAGCTTGATGTTGTGATAGAAGCTAATTTATCTACTATAAGGGCATTAGAGGGTGTGAATAAAAAATTAAGTCGTATGACTCCCGAAGAACAAGCCAAGTTCCGCTTAGATAATTCATTAGGTGGATCATCTGAAGTCTTACACAGACGCGCAATACAAAGGTTAGTATCTTAACATTAAATATTACTCTCATTGTCTTATTTATTATAAAGCTCAGTTATCGGGAACAGTTTTGGCGTTTCATTTTGGTATTTTAGAGTGTGTTTAGTGTTTTCTTCAAGCTTTCCAATGAAGGACACTCTTTGAGATATCACTGTAGTTTATTCCAGTCTGTTAGTCTGAAAATGACCCAATAATAAGATTGACTTTAATCAATGTACACAGCATCATTCTTGGATGAGTTTTATAAGTTGAAAAATATAGGTTAAAATATTTCAGAATATATGGCGACAAAGCTCCAGAAATTATAGATGGTATGAAGAAAAATCCATGTGTAGCTGTTCCATTAGTTCTGAGACGGTAAGAAACACCTCTACTAGAATTCAGTGGTGGATAATGAAAGTATGCTGATAAATTAAAAGAATTTTTTGTTAGCTCTTGATTTTGACCAATTAAGTACAGAAACTCTAATAAAGAGTGCACACCGGTTGTTTCATCCCTTAAAAAATATGAAAAATTGAAATTGACCAGTTGTTAATTGTTCAATCCCAGTGACATGCAGAATTGGTGACAAGCTGAAATAAATATTCTGTGATGAGTAAAAATATTGACTCATCTCACCTGTTAGAATTCTGCATTGTTGGCTATCAGTTCATGTCATTTTCATCACCTGCAGGGTAACCTTTTATAGAATATAGTCTTTTAATTCTTTCTTTCTTTCTTTTTTCAGTTTAAAAGCTAAAGAAGAAGAATGGCGAGAGTCTCAGAGAGGATTTAATAAAATCTGGCGGGAACAGAATGAGAAATATTACCTCAAATCATTAGATCACATGGGAATCAATTTTAAACAAAATGACATCAAAGCCATCCGCTCAAAGGCATTATTAAATGAAATAGAGACTATTTATGATGAGGTGAGAAGCTTATTATTGTGTATTAGGTTGCTATGGCATCGAAAAATATAATTGGACATCCAGTTTTTTTTTAGGTTGTGTATAAACCGTGAGAATTTTGTTCTATCTCCTAGTAAAATCACATTGCTATTGTAATGTTACTTTTGTAGCATACTTGTCTTGGACTGGAAGTGCCAAAACTATATGTGATCATATTTATATTCAAGCATGCAAATTATCATAATTCCTCCTAGAGACAGACTGTTTTCTGAAGACTCCATCTGAATTTTAGTAAATATTTGATGCATTTCTATGTTTTAGAAACAAGAACAGATATTAGAGGGTCAAAATGAAAACTCCAGTCCTCACCTATCATTTGTATATAAAGAAAGAAGTATGATAGATGATGCAGCTAATCTTATAATACATCATATGAAACGACAAACAGGTATTATATACACCCAGGAAAAATGATTGATACTTTCTTATACCACACTGAACCAAGTTAAGGGAAGGGATATCAAAATGAGCCTGGTCCTTCCATCTTTCTTTCCCTGAGTTTTGTTTCCAAAGTATAAGTCTTTTAGTAGTTTTGCCTTGTAGAAATTTAATTTAGTTTTTGGTGTACAATTCTGGAGCATATCTCTGAAACCATTTAAAATACTTTGATCAATATTGTAGACACATCAACCTATTGTAATAGTTGTGCTAATAAGATATTTCTAGGTTGATATTCAAGGGAATAAACCATTCAAGATAACTTTAAAAACTTTTTGCTCATGTTCTATTACAGTGGCTTTGTCGTTTGCTTCTAAGGAAACTTGGTTTTATATTTTTGTATTTCATTCAAAAAAAAATCTGAACTAGTTTTCAGTATGAATTATTCAGTTACTATTTCTGAGAAAAATGTCTAATTTTGTATTTCATCATTCATCCATACATCCAAAACTGAACATTTAACTCTTCTGTGATTTGATACTATGATAGTTAATCCATACTCTTCTGGTTATCTTTAATTAAATTATATTTATGTTTCAATTCCTTCTTTGAACCATACATGTGACTGAAAATGTTGGCCCCAGTCGTGCTGATTGTTTCCATATCATTGTATTGTTCGATAAAAATTCGTCAGAATATGACATATCCTTATTTTTATGTATGAGTTTCAGTCTAGCTAATAACTTCGGATGAGTTGTCTTGGAATGAGTTGTCTTTGGGATGAGTTGTCAGTTATTCGTCTGGTATAACCAGGCGGTATTATTGACATGTCTGACACTAAATGCTAAACATCAATGCAATTAGAATTTGGCTGCTGACTGCCAATAACACCGATTTTGATCCCAGTATCTTGTTACGTTAATGACTAAGACAACTTATTTTAATTATTCATTATGATCATCTTTCCTGTTTAATATCAGTTATAAAAGCTGTAGAGGGAAATAAAATATTTAAAATTTGATTTCAGGTATACATAAAGAAGATAAAACAAAAATTAAACAATTATTAAATCATTTTATACCAGACATGTTTTTCTCTCCACGTGGTGAATTAAGTGATGATGAAGGCGATAAAGATGAAGGTAACCTTTATTTCTTATGTCATCTTATCAAGGAACAGTGTCTAATAATTCAAGGGGGGGTGGATGGCTTAGTGGTTAGCACGTGCGCGCTGTATCATTAAAGTGCACATAAGATGGGCTTGGAAACTTTTGGATATGTGTAGCCAATGGTTACTATATCAACTTTATGGCAAGTTCACACCAATCTGATTGCAATTAATTCAGTTATCTTCACTCAAAGTCGTAAAAATAGACCTCCCTTTAAAAACGATTTTGCCAATTATCGAAAACACTCTTAATCCCCTCAGACGCTAGTGACATCACAGTGACCGAATGCATATTCGGAATGTTTATTCCTTAATTACCTATATACAACCGGCGTGTGTACTTATTAACACCTGACTGGTTCCTTAATCGCCCTTAGTTCCTTAATTAAATAAAACAATTGACTACGGAATAATTTGTTTTGTAATTTATTTTAATTTATGATTCAATTTAGAATTTGTTTCTCATGACAGGAATTTTAATACCCTCTAACATCGTGTGCAGTCCAATTGATTAGAGATACATTTTCGTCAAAAGAGTATTGTGGTTCTAATTTCCGCGATTAAAAAAGTACAGTGTTAAAAAGATGTGGTCATGCAAATTGTATCATAAAAGTCAAACATGACTGAAAAGCGATTTGTAAATGACGATCCGTTATCATCATACGACGGATTTGACTTCATTTCTCTAAAATAGACCGTAAAAATGAAATGCGAAAAAATATCTCAATATACAGTACAAATAAATTTTGAGGGTAACCATCTAAATGGAATAACAGACAGATTGAGAAGTGTCATCTAACTATCTTTGTGTATTGATAATAATATGACAAGTAGTGTCGTTAATATCGGTCATTAATTAATCAATGCGACTAAACTTATACAGACTTGGGGGTCATTAATTAATTTACATCTCGGTGTTAGCAGTGATTGTTAGTGGGATTAAGAATGCTGATTAGGTAATTATCTTTTTACGCCGGCCAGATCAAAGACATCACTCTAGGTGGAATGTGTGCGTAGTACCCACAAATGAACTAATGGTAGAATCGTACACACACATATTAATTGTATAAAATAATTAAGTTTTACTAATAAGTTTGTTTAAAATTACTATATACCCAATAATTATTGCTCACCGGTGTTTTTGTAATCAAGTGGCCTCGTATTATTTGTTGATTGGCGTTTAAACAACATTTAAGTGATGGATGGATTAACGTTTTTGATACGATTAGGTTATAATGTCTAACATAGGTTATCTTCTTTATAATAAAAGTATATATTTTACAATTGCATTGACAGTTTAATCACTCACCAAACGGCACCAGGAACTCCACGAATGATCCCGTGCAATTTTCGCGGCGAAGTTTAACCTCATTTACGACACCCGTATGAACTAATGGTAGAATCATACACACACACACATTAATTGTATAAAATAATTAAGTTTTACTAATAAGTTTTTTTAAAATTACTATATACACAATAATTATTGCTCACCGGTGTTTTTGTAATCAAGTAGCCTCGTATTATTTGTTGATTGGCGTTTAAACAACATTTAATTGATGGATGGATTAACGTTTTTGATACGATTAGGTTATAATGTCTAACATCGGTTATCTTCTTTATAATAAAAGTATTTTACAATTGCATTGACAGTTTAATCACTCACCAAACGGCACCAGGAACTCCACGAATGATCCCGTGCAATTTTCACGGCGAAGTTTAACCTCATTTACTACACCCGTAGTACATGGAACGGTACATGATAATAAGATACCAAGCGTTGATTGGCAGAGAAATGAGTGCGATCTATTGTACATGTTTTGCATAGTCATCGGAAAATTCCATATTCACTGTAGTTGTTCTTTATGTATAGAAATGGTTATTATTATTATATATAGCGAATAATGAATATATCGACAAATGACATTTGTATTTCTGTACTTAAGTTTGTGATATCAAGTATTACGGGGTTATCCAAATTACCGGTAAATGCGCTAATTTCTTGAGTCATCTTCATTTGACACGTGACCTATTTAAACAAAGGCAGCTTAAATTGATCTACGCCATGATACGGCATTTTAAATTCACTCTAAAATATTCCAATCACAAATGTCTAATCTATACCAATGAAAGACGATAATTCGGTGATTATGATTAGGCCTGTCACGTGGTAATTGGACCGTCAATAGACGCTTGTCCAGTTGCTGTGTGTATTGATAGTGCTATATTGTACAGACAGTGAGATATTGTATAGATAATGTATATCCTATGTGTAGTGCCTGTGACGTCACCAGCCAATCAACCGAATTAAGGTCGTAATTGAAAAATCGAAAAGTGTTTTGGCGTGTCGGATACTTAAACATTAACAGCGGACTTAATTTTAATCAGATTGGTGTGAACTTGCCGTAAAGTTGATATAGTAACCATGGGCTATACATAGATGCAATTTAGATTTTTGATCTTACGTGGTCTTTAAGTCTGTCATTGAGTCAATTGGCGTGGTTTCGAATCCCCGGTTGTACGTGACAAGGAGTAGGGTCGCCTGTCGAACCTCGTTGGTTTTCTCCGGGTCCTCCGGTTTCCTCCAACTGCTAAAGACCCCTACGCGCAAGCGAATTATGGAAATACAATTGAACCATATGTTAGTCCTGAAATGACCTAGTTTGTGTCTAGTGGACGTTAAACCCCATTTCTCTCTCAATCTCTAATAATTCAATTGGTACGAAAAACTGAGGTTATGTGTACATGTTCATGTGTATGTAAAAGAAGCCTTAAGAGTTGGAATTCGATGAAGTATAAGTGGAAATGCTGCTGTCTGGGCAAAATTTCCCCCTTTGAACTCTAAATGGTATATGAGAGTCTTCATTCTCAGAAATGTAGGACGTTAAGCTTCGTTTCATTTCACATAGTTGACCATCTGGTTTCCATCTTGACATTCATGTTAATTTTATCATTTGGTACACTATAATTTATATATCAAAGACTTTGCCATTATAACTGTTAACATTTTGAATTCTCTGCATTGTTCTTTATTTTTGTTGAGCAGTTAGTACAGCACTATTTATGGTTAAAATACAGATGTCATGTCATCCTTTGATGTTGGCTTACATTATTTCAAATAATGTACAGCCAATCAGACATAACTGTACAGATCAAATATTCGGCTTGAGGGACGCTTTTATTTAAGATGTACTTGCTAGATAGTATCTGTATTTTAAGTTGTTTAATGGTCTTGAACAGGACATTGCATAATATATTGATGCAACACTCAGGCTAATGTCCTCGTGCAGTTTCAATATTTTACTGTCTCCCTCTCAACCATTCAACCAGTAGTGATGATATTATATTGTAGATATGGAGACCGATGATTATGAGAGAACTGAGATAAAGAAACCAGAAACAAGTAGTAGAAAAGAAGATAAAACTCCACCACCATCAGTAGCAGACACAACAACAGTTGATAAAAAACCTGAAATAAAGAAAGAACCTGGTACTGATGATAAACAACAACAATTACCACCATTGGTTAATGGTGTTAATACTGATGAATCTGATGATGATGTAAGTGATAAAACCTAAATTATACATATATCAAACATACAAGAAAACATATATGTGACCCGCTCCCACGAAACCAGGCGCTTGTCGGACAACTTCATTTTGTACTACGAGCACAAAAGCATAAACTGTATGCCTTCTTGTTGCTGTGAATAAGCCAAACTCAACTTCAGATGATACGACAAATTTAAAAAGTATTGCATTTTTGGAATGCTTAGGCGGTGATCTTTTCTAATATGCTGTCAGCTCTATTTTTTATAAAAATGACCAAGAGCCTGGTTTTGTGGGAGCAGCTCAATGTGAGCTCATCTATCCTGTTCATTGCTAGCTAACAGTTTTATTCTCTTTAACTTTTTTGGTTTCTAATTGGTTATTTTGTATTCATTTTGAATATATATCTATATTTTGTGAAGCAGTTGTTCTGCATTGTTATTACCTTAGATTTCCATCAAGTTGCTAAATTACATTATTTTGCATTACTGGTATCATTATTGTAATACAGTGGACTCTGTCAAATCTGACATCGTACGGGATGGTTACAAAATGTCAGATTATGCAGAGTATCGGAATACACAGTTTTTTCAAAGTGGAAGTATTATTGTAACTTCGAAAACAGAAAGTTTTATTATAATGTAGCTTCGAATTTCCAGAACGTTATTCCCTTTCTGTACATTCAAAATTTTATTACATTAATTTTTATTTCATTTAACATGCATAGGCATTTTGAATAGGTCAATTCTGTTGTTAATTTATCTTCTTCGTCGTCTTCAGTTGATCGCACACTTGTCTTTGGTGTCACGTGTTCATTGATAATCTGTCGCTCTATGTCCAGGTCGTCGTCACACGGATCGGATAGATCCGTAGGGTGAACAAACTTAGGTATTCAGGTTCAATCGGCATGCACAACGAATGTTTCCAACAGGTGCTAGGCATATTTTTACGACTATGAATAATTCGGGGGGAAATTTGTGGGTATTCTTGAGTATTTGTCACAACTGTCTTACAAAATTATCAAAGTAATCAACAAAGACCTACGCGAGCGAGTTTTAATCTCACCGATAAATGATTGGTGATTGCTTGTTAATCTTTTGTGGCTTCACACCCACCAATTGAAGGCCGGATTACACAGTGTTGATTCAATGGAAATCATGTGACGGGACGGCTGATTGATGTCGTAATTCGGAATATTCAGAGTACAGATTACTCAAAGATTTTTTGGCTGAAATAATAAGGAAATAAATCGGGACATGAAAATGATGTCGGATTTCACAGAGTACCGGAGTATTCAGAGGTCGGATGTGACTGCAACTATAAATTTTCTCTCATTTGTTTTAGGATGAAAAATGTTCTCTGTTTTTCACCAATAATAACTGGTATCTGTTTTTCCGTTTGCATCAATTATTATGTGAACGCCTGCATAGAATTTATACGTTGACCCAGAAAATAGTACAAGAAGATTGTCGGAAGGAACGTAAAGATTCTACTGCTATAGCACTACGATTAAAAACACCTTGTAAGTACTTGTTACACCTCTATGAGTTGATACTGGTTTTATCCTTCACCAATATTTACTAGCTGAGAAATTTATATTTCACCTTAACTCCAGTAATAATATTAAAATGGTATGGTCATCTATTTTGATGTTGATATTTTGATTTGTATTACGCTTTCTATGTAAAATAAATAAGCAACAAGTTATTGTAAACTATTATTAATGTTAAATATTGTATATTTACAGTTGAAGTAGAACCTGAAGACTATTATTCCTACTTTCTAGAAATGATTAAAAATTTATTAGATGGTCACATGGAATCTAGTTCGTATGAAGATCAACTACGTGAAATGTTTGGTATACAGGCTTATATTGCCTTTACTATGGATAAACTCGTACAAAATCTTGTTAGACAGGTATGATATCACACCTATTGGGAGCGTTTAAATTTGACCTGTTGATCATTTCTGATTAAATGATACATGTTGCCAGCTTTTTATTGCATATACCAAATTGAAGTTTTTATTGTTTTCAAAAATACAGAATTTATGTTATGTTTTGATCCTTGAGTCTCATTTAGCCAGAGTTAGTCAGAAATGTAATAAGTTACTGAGTTTTAAGTATTCTATTCTTGAAAACATATAAAATGTTATCATATAAGTATTCTATTCTTGAAAACATATAAAATGTTATCATATATTGTTGTTTTTTTATCGTTGAAATAAATGTGGTTAAGATTTGATCTCTTTTGACAGAGTTTACCAACATTACTTACAGTAGAACTTGCTAGGGCGTGCACTCCTTATCAGCGAACACTTGCTTCAACGAGCACCAAAAAATCCCCCGAGCGATTTTTAAGTAATTTAACCCCTACTAAACACGCACCTGTTCAACGCGTGCAACGGGCATCCTTATTAGCCCCAGATCATGCTATTTCATCCATTAAGTGAGCACATCATAGTGAATCTTGGAGAATCATGGAGAGTCACATTCTCGCTTGAGCGAACGAGACTGAACTGTCACTAATCTTGACACGATTTACTCGCTTGGCTTGAACTAACTATCACTAATTAACAAGTTTACTCATAATTTTAACCATTAATCAATATTCTATTCATATCCAAGCCAATGATGATATATAAGAAAGAGTCTGAATTGATAAGACATTGTTTATCAATATGTCTAATATTACTACGCCTCGTAAAGTTCTTACACCTACTCGAAAAGTTTTGACACTTGAAGAACGTGTCAAAGTGATACAGTTATCAAATGAAGGTAAAAGTGGTTGCGTAATCGCTAAAATAGTTGGGGTGGGAAATACTCAAATTCACGGCATTTTGAAAAGAAAGGCAGAGATTTTAGACAATTTTGAAAATAATTCATCACCTCACAAGAAGTGCACGAAAAGGTCGACAGGTAATGAAGACATTAACGATTTGGTCTGGAAATATTGGATACCTCTAGTCAAAGAGCACCTCCATTAAGCAAGCATTTTTAAATTTCCCTTGAGTGCTTGCTTAATACAAGTTCTACTGTACTTATATTGTGTATATATTTGTAGCTACAACATATAGTAACTGATGAAACCTGTCAGAAAGTCATGGATTTATTTATTGAAGAACAGAAAAATGGTGCCACAGGTGGTCGCTTAGCAACACAACATCAGAGAACTTTAGTAGAATCATCATTTCAACGCAGAGCAGAACAACTTCTTTCAGAAGAAAATTGTTATAAAATAGTTATTGTAAGTCTTTCTATAAATTTACTGGTTGAACCAATTTATGATCAATGAATGTATATACCTGATCAATGTATATACCTAGTAGAGTTAAACTTCTACTCTGTTCTCAATATTCATGTATGTTTTTCCCACTTGTATTTTTATTATGTTGAATTGATGTATCGAACTGTGGGATGCTACGTGTAGATTGATTCTTCATGATACTTTTTTGTTTCTTTCCCTTTTAGAAATAGGGTCTTTGGGTCATAGCCCCAGCTTTATGGAAATAATATTAAAGAGCCCAACCAAATCATATCACAGCAGTTAAAATATGCAGTACTATTCATATGGTGGTTCAATATAAGCATGGCCACCAACAGGATTATAGTCAACCCCTAATCTTTTGTTGTCAAATGAGCAATTCCTTGGTTTGTTGAATTGTTTGAAATCTTTGTTACATTTCAACTATCATTTTGTTTATAAAGGTGTGAGTTGAGAGTATTAGAGATGTTTTTTTTAATATATTTCAGTTTAAGAAAGAGTGTAAATTAACTCTAGAATTATTAGATACAGAACATGATCAAGGTGATGATCCGGTAGAAGTAGAAAAATGGTCCGAGTATGTTGAACAATATGTAGCACAGGATGATACAATATCAGAAGAGCTTAAAGATCAACTTACCAAAAAACCTGTCTTTTTACCCAGGTATAAAATCTAATTAGACTTGTATATTACCGGTACTTTAATTAGTGTATATGCAATACAAAACAAAATTAGATCTTTATTTGGTTTTGTTATACGCCCACATTGAAATGTGGTCGTATATTGTCGTCGCCCATTGCTTGTGGACGCTCTAGAGGCTAAAGTTAATATCCGATTGACTTGATTTTCACCAATTTCCGATAATTACTGCCAGAGTTATGGGCCTTGATCACTTCAAAAAATCTTGTGGACGCTCTAGAGGTCAAAGTTAATATCCGATTGACTTCAAATTTATACACAGTGTTTAAGGTCATGAGATGAAGAATCCTATTGATTTTCAGTGATTTCCAATAAATACTGCCAGAGTTATGGCCCTTGATCACTTTGAAAAATCTTGTGGACGCTCTAGAGGCTAAAGTTAATATTCGATTGACTTTAAATTTATACACAGTGTTTGAGGTCATGAGATGAAGAATCATATTGATTTTCATCGATTTCGGATAATTACTGCCAGAGTTATGGCCCTTGATCACTTTGAAAAATCTTGTGACGCTCTAGAGGCTAAAGTTAATATTCGATTGACTTACGATTTCGGATAATTACTGCCAGAGTTATGGCCCTTGATCACTTTGAAAAATCTTGTGACGCTCTAGAGGCTAAAGTTATCATCCGATTGACTTCAGATTGGTACACAGAGTTTAAGGTCTTGAGACGAACAAGTATATTGATTTTCAATGAATCTTTATGACTTGAACAGCTAAATCCATGATGTTAAAAGTTTTGTATACTAAACATTAGCATGGGACAGAACTTTATAAAAACCAAACAAATTCTAATGGTTTTCTGATAATTACTTAAGGAGTTGTTACTCTTAATCAGATTTTAATGTATTATAAATGTTTCATTACCGAAAAAAGTAAAAATATGCGACAACTCTTGTTGACTGCCGGGACGATATAGCTGCTGTGGGCGTATGTTTCGTTGCCTGGCAACCTATCTTTTTTTAATTTTCATTGGCCTATTCTGCATAGATATATAACAACTCCCTTATCGACTGTCTGTTCTGATGGGCTGTCTACCTTGAGTGAGGCGACTCGACACTGTAATCACACAAAGGAATACAGGGCATTTTCCCTAGTTGACCATTTACGACAAGGACACTTGGCTAGTTGGATGAAAACCAGAACATGTGCTTCTTAACCATATCATTAGACCGTAATTGCAGTTTATAGGTTAATAGACAAATAGAAATGAAGCAAAAGAAAAGTACCGGTATTATTGTTGCATGCACAGTTGAATGCACTTTTTGAGGGTTGAACACTCCCTTTGTTTGTAACATTGATTTTTCATAGTGCATCTACTTTATTTCTGCATGTACAACCCCACACATGCCCACACATGTTTATATTATGTTTTAGAATTGTTCGACAGTCAAGGCAGCATAACAAGAATAAAACGCGTGGTGAAGAGGAAGAAAAAGAGAAAGATAAAGACAGTGATACTAAAGAAGAAGCAACTGGACCCCTTAAACCTAAAACTGAAGATATGGATATTATGGACAGTACAGGGTGTAAATTTAATGTGAATTCTTTTAAAATGGTGTATGTAGTGAACAGTGAAAGCTATCTGTATAAACGAATGGCACTAAAAAAAGCCAAAGAGGTAAATATATCATTACATAATTTATGTCATGGGAGGCGAACAGTAACACTCCCTTAAAAAAAAGTTGGAGGTTCTGGACAGGTCGGTCGATCTATGTAGCTGTTAGAACAAAAGCTAATGCAAGCGGAGAGAATAGACAAGAATAGATCATTCAAAAATGAGTAGTATAAACAGACTTTAAGTGGAATAGAGAGATGGTTTTTATAAGCCCACATTAAAATGTGGTCGTATATTGTCACCCCCGTCCGTCCGTTCGTCAGTCCGGCTAAAGTTCATATCTGATTGACTTTAAATTTATACACAGTGTTTAAGGTCATGAGACGAAGAAGCCTATTGATTTTCATCGATTTTCGGTAATTACTGCCAGAGTTATGGCCCTTGATCACTTCAAAAAATCTTGTGGACACTCTAGAGGTCAAAGTTAATATCCGATTGACTTTAAATTTATACATAGTGTTTAAGGTCATGAGACGAAGAAGCCTATTGATTTTCAACCATTTTCGATAATTACTGCTAGAGTTATGGCCCTTGATCACTTCAAAAAATCTTGTGGACGCTCTAGAGGTCAAAGTTAATATCCGAATGACTGTAAATTTATACACAGTGTTTAAGGTCATGAGACAAAGAACCCTATTGATTTTCAGCGATTTTCGATAATTACTGCCAGAGTTATGGCCCTTGATCACTTCAAAAAATCTAGAGGTCAAAGTTAATATCCGATTGACTTTAAAGTTATACATAGTGTTTAAGGTCATGAGACGAAGAAGCCTATTGATTTTCAACGATTTTTGATAATTACTGCTAGAGTTATGGCCCTTGATCACTTCAAAAAAATCTTGGGGATGCTCTAGAGGTCAAAGTCAATATCCGATTGACTTTAAATTTATACACAGTGTTTAAGGTCATGAGACGAAAAAGCCTATTGATTTTGAGCGATTTCCGATGGCCCTTGATCACTTTGAAAAATCTTGTGGTCACTCTGCAGGCTAAAGTTAATATCCGATTGACTTTAAATTTATACAGTGTTTAAGGTCATGAGACGAAGAAGCCTATTGATTTTCAGCGATTTCCGATAATTACTGCCAGAGTTATGGCCCTTGATCACTTTGAAAAATCTTGTGGGCGCTCTAGAGGCTAAAGTTAATATCCGATTGACTTTAAATTTATACACAGTGTTTAAGGTCATGAGACGAAGAAGCCTATTGATTTTCAGCGATTTCCGATAATTACTGCCAGAGTTATGACCCTTGATCACTTTGAAAAATCTTGTGGACGCTCTAGAGGTTAAAGTTATCATCCGATTGTCTTCAGATTGATACACAGAGTTTAAGGTCTTGAGACGAAAAAGTATATTGATTATCAATGAATCTTTATGACTTGATTACAGCTAAATCCATGATGTTAAAAGTTTCATATACTAAACTTTAGCATGGGGCATAACTTTATAAAAACCAAACAAATTCTAATGGTTTTCTGATATGTTTCATTCTCTATATGTTTTCATACTTATTTCTTTCAGTCCCATAAACGAGTGTCGTTAAAGTTACATGAAAAATTCATGACAAAAGTGAATAAATGGAGAAAGGAAAATGTGACTGCCGAACTAGAAGCAGCTTGTTCTCAGTGGCTGCTGGGTAAAGGTGAAGGACTTCATGCGTGTAAAACAACGTGTAATAAAATTTACTTTCCGGACAAATCTCCCTACTACCAATATAACAAATATTCTGTGGAATATTTTGAAGCAAACAACGCCTCGAAACCTGACATAGAAAAATAAGTGTTAAACTGCATGTATATGAAATATTTTCACAAACTGTCTCTTTTCTTTTTGCTACAATATTCATTATTTATCAAGACAATAACTCGACATCAGTACATGGAAGTATCCTCTGAATTTGTTATTCATGTAACTTGTATTATGGCCATCATGTTGAAGATAACCAGTCTTTAACTCGCAAATATTGCATTTGTTCCGTGAAAATATCAAGTGATTTTTCTGTTAAGAATGTGAAATACAAAAGTTATTATATCACAACAGAAAACAATTTAAAGGCTGGAAAATTATAAAGTGCTAATTGTGTACATATATTATGTATAGATTTTACTTTTTCAAGCCATTATTACATTGTATATGACTTACTTATGGGCACTGTACATATTCAATTGTTTTTGTTTTTCTTTCCACCAATATTTTCCATAGCGTCATTTGTATTGTATTAGTGTATAAATAGCCATTTCGTACCATTTATTCATTGTAGTAGGTTAAGGTTGTATAATAGATAAGTATCATGTAAGTAGAATCATACAGATATTCTGTATATTGTCATTATGTAAAGAACCACTCAATAAAATTATTTTGAAATTATGAAATCGTAGTTTAGAAATAGAATCTTAACATAATTGGATATTTTTTCATCTCATAAATGGTCAATAATAGTGCAAATATTAATCACTGTTTCTGGGTGCAATTTCAACATCCAAATGGGATTGCATAGCCATTTATTTTAGCCAGAGAAAAGGGAGATAATGCATGCCAAAATGTTGGATATTTTTTCATCTCATAAATGGTAAGATAATCTCCCGGCTTGTATCAGAGTTCGAGGCCCATCTAAAGATTTATGTAAAGATTATTGGTGACTTGTTTCGACTATATTCTGTTTATTATCTGCAGTAGATGCCAAATGTTGACAAATTTTCAATTCATCATACCCTTGTAAATACTGAAAGGAATTTAATCATTTTGATACCGATATTCCTTTTAGAGATTAAACTTTCACAAAATTGTAGTTTGCAAGGAATTTGAAATGAGGATTAGACATTAATAGTTGATGATTTTTGGTGTGCAAGTTAACCATGACGAAAGAACATGATGTGCAAAATTTTAGCGCTGGAGGCCCCATGGGGCCCCTTCAGGGGTATTCCAAAATTTGTGCCTTTTCGGCTGACCTTCAAACTTTGAAAATCCATAACTTCGCCCCTAGTAATCCTACTTACATGAAATTGGTATCAAATTGTTCAAAAAACAGATCTTTCTAATGACCGGAAGCACAAACTCGACAGAACAAAATCCAGGCAGATCGTGTTTGACCTTGACCTTTGAACCCACGCCCCCGAAAAGGGCAGATTCGATTTGGCCAATTTTTCGTGTGAACATGAAATTGGTATCAAATTGTTCAAAAAAACAGATCTTTCTAATGACCGGAAGCACGAACTCTAAAGAACAAAATCCAGGCAGATCGTGTTTGACCTTGACCTTTGAACCCACGCCCCCGAAAAGGGTCAGATTCGATTTGGCCAATTTTTCGTGTGAACATTGCCCCACCATGATTAACGAACACACACAAAATCAAAATGGGATCTCCGTGGGAACAGATTTTAGGAGCCGGTCAAGTCAGGTGCTACACAGTTATTCAAGTGCACACGACCTTAACACCGCGATATGATGTCATAACAGCAACTCGGCGAGCCCGATTTCGGCCGTGGAGATATGCCAACAGATTGAGAAGGGTCATATAACTATCTTTGTGTATTGATAAAAGTGTAGTGTCGTTTATATCTGTCATTAATCTATCCGACTAAAGTTGCAGACATGGGGTCATAAATTAATTAAGAATGCTGATTAGGTAATTATATTTTTTTTACGTCGGCCAGATCAAAGACATCACTCTAGGTGGAACGTGTGCGTAATACCCCACGCACGAACTAATCGTACACACGTTAATTGTATAATATAATTAAGTTTTACTCATCAGTTGTTTATAATTATTATTTACCCATTAATGAATTAGCTTTGCTCACCGATGTTTTTGTAATAAAGTAGCCTCGTATTATTTGTTGATTAAATTGACTTGATATGAAATCTGAATATAAATTATTCGATGGATAAATGTTTGTGATAAGATAAGGTTATAATATCTAACATCGTTTAACCTTTTTTATAATAAAGGTACTTTACAATTACATTGACAGTTTAATCACTCACCAAACGGCAGCAGGAACTACTCCACGTATGATCAAGTGTATTTGATATTCATGTCCATGAATCCCGTGCAATTTTCGCGCCAAAGTTTAACCTCATTTACTATGCCCGTAGTGCATGGAACCGTACACGGTAATAAGATTCCCATCGTTGATTCACTGAGAAATGAGGGCGATCTATTGTTATGCATAGTCATCGGAAAATTCCATATTCGCTGTGAATTTCAAAAGTTGTTCTTTGTGTATAGAAATGGTTATTATTATATATATCTAATAATGAATATATCGACAAATGACTGGCATCATTTGTATTTCTGTACTTATAGAGAATAGTTTGTGATATCAAGTATTACGGGGTTATCCAAATTACCGGTAAATGCGTTATTGCTTGGGTCGTCTTCAGTTGACACGTGGTCTATTTAAACAAAGGCAGATTAAATGATCCGGCATTTTAAATTCACTCTAAAATATTCCCAATCACAAATGTCTAATCTATAACAATGTCAATGTAAGACAATAATTCGGTGATTATGATTAGGCCACTCACGTGGTAATTGGACCGCCACTAGACGCTTGTCAACTGGTGGTGTGTATTGATGGTGCTATATTGTATAGATAATGTATATACTATGTGTAGTGCTTGTGACGTCACCAGCCAATCAACCGGATTAAGGTCGTAATTGAAAAACTGAAAAACGTTTTGGCGTGTCAGATACTTAAACGTTAACAGCCAAATTAATTTTTAATCAGATTGGTGTGAACTTGCCATAAAGTGGATATAGTAACCATTGGCTATACGTACATTAAATTTAGATTTTTTGTCTTATGTGGTCTTTAAAAGAACTAAATCACTAATATCTGGAACCTAGAAATTGACACAAATGCGTCGCAAAGCATATTATAATAATGTAATATGAATGTATATAATCTGATTTACATTCAATCGTTTACATTTTTACTCTAATTTTAAATCAGTTATAATCGGCGAAATACGCCCGAAGTCCCAATCGAATGACAATCTCAGCGTCTGGTTATTCTAGTCTACATAGTATTTATTGCGCATACTCTCCAGATATGAATATGCCGTCACTGTTTGACATGACTTGTGGCATATATCTAGCCTCATTCTTCGAGTCCCTTGTTAAAAATGGGCCTGAAATGCACCAAGGTACACGATTCGTGTGCCAATGGTAAAATGTTTATTTTGTCTTAAATATTGGATATCAGAAGCCCACCTTTTCCCGGTAAGATCACAACATCAATGTTGATTTAAATTGACAAATAATTCGTGTTTTCAATGTCGAAGATTTTGGATGATATTGAGTTAGAGACTTAGCTACTTAAAGGTAACTGATTCTGTAAATGCTCCCTGAAATCTTCAGCCCATATGTAGCCTATTAATTGAGCACTGGTTCAGACCATGGAATGAACCTGGGCCCTTAACTAAAAATAAAATACAAATTTTAGTAGATACTTCAATTTTGATTGGCTAAGCACTAAAATGAATCTAATATTATCCAATCAAATTACGACCATATATCTGAACATAATCTTATGGAAGAATACCAGAGCGCATATAGAAAATTCCATAGTACGGAAACAGCGCTACTCCGTGTCCCACAACGACATTACCATGTGTCTGGATAGACGTGAATGCATTCTACGGATCCTGCTGGATTTATCGGCAGCATTCGACACCGTTGATCACGATATCCTCATGTCAAGATTAGAATGTGACTTTGGAATCCAAACTAATGCTCTGAAACTCATAGAATCCTATATAAAAGGTCGTAATCAAACTATTATAGTTAATGGTGTATCATCATCTAAAATGCCTTTAAATTGTGGTTGGCTAAGTGGGTAAGACGTTAGCTCGCTAGCCTGGAGGTCGGGTGTTCGATCCCTGCATTGGCCGAGAAAGTTCATCCAGATTTTCCGGCGTGGTTCTCCCTTGTCAGTGATGCAGGACGGAGGGGCTGACAAGGAAAGCTGTCTAGTCGTTCGGATGGGACGAAAAACCGAGGTCCCGTGTACACATTGGCGTGCACGTAAAAGATCCCTTGGCAGTTGGAATTCAATAAAAGAGTAGGCCGTAGTGCCGCTGTCCGGGCAAAATTTCCCTCATAGCACACTGTATGGCGTATGCCCGTCTTCATTAGCCCAGGTTAGGAGCAGAACAGTAGGACGTTAAACCCCATTTCATTTCATTTAAATTGTGGTGTCCCACAGGGATCCGTATTAGGGCCGATTTTATTCAGTTTGTACACTTCTCCCCTTGGTGTAATCGTTAGGAAATATGGCCTCTCATTTCATCTATATGCTGACGATTCACAACTTTACATTTCCTTTAAACCTCAGCAGGATGAACACTTCCATATTTCAAAATCAATTTTGGAACAGTGCATCTTAGAAGTAAAGAGCTGGATGAGCCAAAACTTTCTCAAACTCAATGACTATAAGACAGAATATTTGCTTATTGGATCAAACAAAAATTTAGAGAAATTGGATAACAACCTAAGTATTTAAGTGGGTGATAGTGTCATCTGTCCCTCTCAATCGGCTCGGAACATTGGGGTAATTTTTGATTATCACCTGTCAATGGAGTGTCATATAAACCATGTGTGTAAATTAGAAATATTGGAAAACTGAAACCGAATGTGTCTGCAGACTGTGTGAAAACTCTTGTTAATGCATTAGTGACTTCTCGCATTGATAACATGAACTCTTTATTATATGGTATCCCTGCTAAATATATCGATAAACTACAAAAATTACAAAATTCTGCAGCTAGGCTTATTACAGGTGTTTCTTATAGAGAACATATAACCCCAATCCTTTTTAATTTACACTGGCTCCCGGTTCAATCTAGAATAACCTATAAAATTTTATTGTTAACTTTTAAATGTCTAAATGGTCTTGCGCCATCTTACTTATCCAATATTTTAACTTTATATTCACCATCCCGAACTTTACGTTCGTCTCAAGATCATTGTCTTTTAAAGGTGCAAAAATCGAACCTTGCCGCCTGTGGCAATCGTGCTTTTTCCATTTGTGCACCAAAATTATGGAATAAACTCCCACACAGTATACGCAGTTGTAATTCACTCCCTGTTTTTAAAACGAAACTCAAAACCCACCTATTTACTCTTGCTTTTACATAATTCTTTTTACGCTTTATAACATTATCTACACTATTAACTATCTTTGTTTTTATTTATATTTTTATTTCTTTATTTACATGATTATTTTACACGTTATAACTCTATCTACACCATTAAAGATTACTGTTTTTATTTAAATGTGGATTTCTATATTTCTATTTTTACACGAACTACATATTTTTAAAACCCTATCTATATTCTTTATTGATATTGTGAATTTATCCATTGTGT